TTGCCCTGATTTCAGGCTTTCGGATTTGCAAAGTTTGCCCAGATTGCTCGTGAGGTTGGAGACCCAAGGGGTTTTGTTCCTAGGGATGCAGCCATATGACTACCTTCCACTTGCAAGTCTGAAAGTCTGAATCCCTGTAATGGGCATGGCCGAAATCCGCACTTGGTGGGTGGAACGGGGTTGCTGATTTCCGCGAAGCATGTTTTATGTTTTTCGGGGGACCTTTATTGAAGAAAGGGCTACTCCGGATATCGTCGCACTGGAACTAGGGTCTTTTTCTTCCTCGTCGGCTGGCTGCTTGGGCTGGCTCGCTGGGCAGGCTCTGTCCACATGTAAGGAACAACTACAACATGTAAGGGGTCCTATCTCATTATTAAAAAAACAAAAAACAGCAGGGATTCCAAGGAAATTCCAAGCATCAAATTTCTTTATGTGAAAGTTTGGGTCCTGCGAACGTGTTGGTTTGGACCTTAGTGATTTGTAGCATGGCGAGAGCACCAAGAACCGACTTTGCCCCCCTTTAGGCTTATGTGTTTCCCGCAAGCACGCGCTGTAAGGGCGGTAGGGGGCAACATGAGGTTTGTTGGATCCGCGAAGCTTAGAGAAGAGAGTCGACATTTGGCCGTGACAGCATCCACCCGCCTAAGATGTGACATATGTAAAAACTGGGACAACTCAACTACGTCCCTGACATGCTCCAGTTTGATCAAGATGGAGTGAAGCTTCTGGAAGGTCAGATCCGTGCCAAGTCGGATTTTCCGGCTCGCAGGATCTGATTTATCGCCTTGGCGGCGGCCTTGGGGTCCTAGGCGGCTGCTCAGGGGTTTGGGGGGGGGGAGAGAGAGAGAAAACCACGTTTTCGGCTCAGTTTTTTGTTTTGTGTTTTTTTCCCCAACAGCTGAAAGCTTTGGGGTCTCAGCCCAGATAGGCTCCGGGGTGGTCCGGGGCGGCCCTGAGGTAAGGTTCCACGAGGGTTCCACGAGGGTTCCACCAGAGTTCCACCACTGCGAGGGCTGCGGGGTGGTCTGGGGTGGTTTGAGGTAAGGTTCCACGAGGGTTCCAAAAGGTTCCAACAAGTTTCACGGAACGGTTTGCAACCAGGCCCAGTCGGGGCCCGAGTCAGGGCCTGATCGGACCCCGATTGCGCCGTCGGGCCCTGATCGGGCCCCATCAACTACCAAGCTGGCATCGCCTAGTTTTGCTAGACACAGTTGTAAGGCTGCATCCTAAGGAAAGCTGGTGTTCAGCTTTCCTGTGGGTGGCTGGGGTTGGTGGGAGCCCGCTTGCACCACGGGACCATTGGGCCCCGGTCGGGGCCCGATTGCACCGTCGGGCTCCGCTCGGGCCCCGTCGGGGCCCGATTGCACCATCGGGCCCCGATCGGGATTGTGACGTCGGACTTTGATTGTGCCGTCGGGCCCCAGTCATGGCGCGATTGCGCTGTCACTCTTAGCTTTGCTTCATAAAGTTACAAGGCGGTGAGGTGGGTCCCGGGGCGGGTGTGGTGCTGTTGGGGATATCGCCTGAGCTTATTTTTTTGGGGGGGGAAGCCTTGTCCAAAGCAATAATTGCAGAAGTGGGGCTTAAGGAAGTGAAGGCGCTACTTGGCACTTGAGAAGCCAGACTGAAAGCTGAGTTCTTCCAACCCGCCGCCCACCACAAAACATGCCGGAGCATCAGTGGCCACCCTGCCCTCCTTTTCCAGCTTCTCACAGACAAGAGCACTGTGCCCATTTGTTGTGCCAATCGCTCCACCCTCCTTCCCCCTAACAAACCTCAAGCCTTTTTGAAGGCCCCTGCCATCGACGAAATCGCCAGGCTTTTCCTGGACGCTGGGCCAGGCCGGGAAAACATGAGAATACCCGATGCAGGGCCTGTGTAGCTTGATCAGTCTCCATGTAGCGCACCTCCAAGCAAAATAACATACATGTATGTAAGGCACGTTTTTCACTCTGGGAAGAGCCTGAACCTATTGACGTGGTTCAAGTAGCACCGTAGGAGTCCCGGTTTGTGTTGGACTGCTTGCGCTGATTCTGATGTCACATCAAGTTATCAAAGGTTTGGTTTAGCTACCAGTGAACTGGGGCGTTATAGCAAAGATTCTTCTACGGGTTCCAAGTTTGAGGGCGCCTCGCGGTGCTTGACGACTGCAGGACCCATACCAAGGAGACAATGGCCCGGACGGCACTGTGCCAGCAAAGCGCGGGGCGCAGGAACATCTCTCAATTTGGTCCTCGGGCTCGTGACCTGAATTCCCACTTCAAGGGGACGCACATGTATCAACCGGCTCATCTGGGGCTTACTAGTCCGGTGCTAAGATTAGGGCCCCTACCATCCATCCCCTTAAAGTGTTCTCGTTTTCCTAGGTGCATGATGGTTCATTCCCAAACCCCTTAGTGACTCGCTATATTATGTATGTGCAAAACCTTTGTTGGTTGTTTTGTTGTATGTCTCGATGCATAGCTGCACTATGTCGTACATTCCGTATAATAGGTTTTGCCCGCGAAGTGGCTTTGCTTGAGGTGTAGACACAAAGGAAAGGGGGCTGACGGTTTTCCCATTAGAACCTGGAAAAGCATTGAGGTGCTTCAGGACAGGGTGCACGGAAAAGGCGGGGGAGGGGGATACGAAGGTGGTGGAAAGGCAGCTTCGGCACAGCTTTCGGCCCGTCTTCCTTTCATGGCGTTGCAGTTTTACATGGGAATATATGTTTGGAGTACATCGTATACATACTACATTGTATTTGTATCTGCGTGGGTGCATAGGTTGCTAAATTCTCAGTCTATAACTCGCACATATGCCTCTCTCTCTCTCTCTTAAAATGGCGGCCCCCACGCATGTTTGGGCGTTTCCCTTTTGGTCTCCCTGGGAAGAGGCACCTCAACAAACATTTGCCATACCTTTTGGTCACCGGTGACCTCAAGACTCAAAATCATCTATTTTGGGTTTCCCGTTTGGTGGCTCCTGAGTGGTCCATGCCTTTTGGTCACCTCAGCCTTTTGATTTACAACATCCATTGCGGTCAGAGATTCAGGCCCTGGTCCCTAGAAACAATACATTCTTCAGGAACACAGCCAAAAACAAATTGGGGGAGCCCTTTTCCTGCAGATCTTCCTGAACCATTTGACTCTTTCCCGTTTGGCCCCAAGAACCACATCCTTACCTCTCTTTTCAACTTTTTGGGGGTACCATGGGCTATATGTCTGTAAAAGATTACCTTCCCCAGGTCTTGGAGTTTTAAGGGGTAAGCATCTCATCTCCTCATCTCTCCTTCGGCTCCTTGGCTCTTCAGTCGTCTCTCGTCGCAAATTTCCCGAGGTCTCCGGTCATGGCGGGGGGCCTCTTCGCCTCCGACACCCGGGAGTTCCTGCGCCTCGGGGGCTCGAAGCCCCGGTTGGTTGGGTTTTTCCTTGCGGCCAACAGGGCCCCAAACGGTCAGGTGCTCTTTTTGCTTTTATGTCTCGCACGGCGAGGCGCCTTTCTATGGCCTTTTTCTCTTTTTTTTGTTCCCGCTAGTTTTTCCATTTTTGTTCTTTTCGTTTTGTGTGTGTGTGTGTTTGTTGTTGTGTTTGCTTTTTGTTTTAAGGGGGTCACTCAATTGTAGCCCCTTTCCAGGCATGCAATTGCCAACGAACCCCCCGGGTCATGTTTCCATGCTTCTCAAGTTGGGCAGTTGTTGGATATCTTCCACCTTGGTTCTTACGGGTAGCTAACGGTTTTTGTTGGGGCATCTATTGGTCCCTTTCCTGGCTTCAATGACCATACATCCTAAAGTGCACACAGTGAAGGCCAGACTCAACAACTGAGTTGGTGGAGGGAAGGCTGAGATAGTTGCCTTAGCCCCCCGCCCACAAAGAATCAACCAGCTGGACCCAGGTCAGCCTCGGCCAGGTTTTAGCCTTTGGTTTTATAGGATCAAGCAAACATTAGATGGGCTCCGATGATTTTTCTACCAGGCTCAATGGCTGCGTCTCAGTTGCGTTGTCACACTGCTTCGACATGGTAGTTCTTTACTTGAGCTGCTTTTAAAGCGACACAGGCTAGCTCAAAGTTAGACATGTAGTCATGGTCTCTTTTTGGACCTGATTTATCCCAGCCCAAATCAGCATGCCTTCCCGGCATTCGATGTTTCGCTTGGTCCAATCCATCTTGGATAGGTGTTTCCCTTAGAAGTTGTTTGTGTTTTGTTGTTTCTTTGGTATTCTGCAACCTACGTCCAAGATATACCCTCCCAACCGAGGGGGTCCTGGAGGACCATTTTCCTTTGAAAGGGGAACGGTGGTGGCGAGAAGCGGATTTTGTCCGTCCGCAGTCAGGGGACCCTATTCGGCAGGGAAAGCTTTAAGCTTCCATTTGCCTCTTCGCCCCCTGCAAAACTAGAACACTGTGAAATAGATTCCCTTTAAAACGAACAGCCCTAAGGCTTCAAAACTGCTTGCTTTCAAGGGCTCCTGAGGAATTGGTCGGGGTTCTCCATTGGAGGGTGCAACCCCCGTTTCATGTTAGTTGGTGGCAGGGTAATTACCGTGTGCCCATGAGATTGCGCAATTCCATTGTTTGATCCATGTTCCCTTTTGCGGGATAGATTTGACAAATTGAATTGCCCCCCCCCCCCCCCGCTACACCGTACACCGACAAACGTGAGATCCATCGTCCGCGCGTTTCTTGCATCACGAATGGCCGCGATGCGTCGGCTTGAGTGGGGTGATGCATAAGTCAAACACGTGCAAGGTCCAGACCCCTTGATGACAAGATTAAAGGCATTCAGCGCTTAGAAAGTTACTTGCTGGTCCGATAGGTGGGGAATGACCGAGTCCTGGTGTTGGGAATGAATCGTTTTGGGATTCCCGAATAAAGAGCACCACAAGGGATTGGTTGTAGGGGTCATTCTCTCATTCGCAGCTCAGCACCAGCAAGGTTAGTTGCCAGTTGGAAAGTTGGAAAGCTAGAGAGAGGTAACCCTCAGCCCACTTTTTCACCCGTCAGTCAGTTGCTCAGAGATGGCTGACGATGATGACGACGACGACTTCGCACGCCTGGCAAGTTGACTGCGTGCTGCCAAGCGGTACCAAACGCCGGTTTTCCCTACACTGATATCCATTTGATGAGTCGGTTCCTTGGCTCAGGTAGAACTACATGGAGGCTTTTCAAAATTTAGAGACAGTAATCTAATTAACTTGTCGAGCCTTTTTGACACCCCTCCAAAAATATTTGTCCATTCCATTTTGAGTCAAACCCATGTCCACAGCGGAACAGAATCGTTTGGGCATGTGTCTGCTTACCTGAGGCATTCAACGAGCTGACAGGCTTTTGTCCCGCCACGTGTGCTTTTGAGCAGAAGTTTGAGCAATGTTGTGCCTGTGTTTTCCGAGTTGGCTGTGAGCGGCCAGGGTCATAGTGAATATGGATTTCTTCGTAGGTGTTTGGTCTTTGTGCTGTTGTCCATTTAAGGCGCTACAAAGTTATTCACTTTTGGCAGGGGATCTGACAGCCCAGGAAGATGGCGGCAGAATGTTGCTGGAATGCTAGTTTCGACGGAGGGTCCTCCCTACCGTTATTCGGCTGCGAGATTGGGGAGGACACGAGTGGCACACCCAATTTAGCACAACACACACAGAGCTTGCTCATGTTTATCCGGGTGCAGACAGCCTTAAGCATAGTGGGGGATCCCTTTCGGAAGCTGCTTGAAGCCAGACCAGGATGAAACCAACCATGTTTAGAGACTCCCAACCCAGACAAGGTCCGCGCATGTGGGTGTGTTTGCGTGGGTGTGCTTGCGTTTCTGTTCGCTGAGGGTACCTTCTTTTGGCCTCGGAGGTGAAACGATCTCACCATGATGAGTGTCCCGAAAATTCGTGGGATCGAAGATGAGGAATCCCGGTGGTTTGTCAACGCCATTCAAATTGGAAGTATTCTAACATGGTTTGCTTGTCGCACAGATCGCTGATGAAGAGTAGGCACCCTTTTTTGTTTGATCAAAACGGATATGACCTTACACATCAATGGTTTTCATAAATGGTTAGATTGAAGTAAATATGGCAACACAAAAAGTTGGTAAAGTTGGAAAACATGGTAAAGTGAGCAAATCCGAGTTCCAATTTTCCTTTGCAGGCCAGGCCCACGTAGCGATGTTTTTTTTGCCAGTCTGAGATGGAGCTGCCGTCCCCAGCGCTGGCCGAAGGGGAGGCTGGGTAGAGCTCAGTGGTTCAAAGCGAATCGACCTGATCTGAGCTTGGGGTTTTCCCTTTTTGGGGTCCTATTTTTGGTAGAGGTCCCAAAAGGTGATCACCTTTTATTTGCAGGTCCCAAAAGGGCAAGTGAGAGAGGGTTTAGACTTTTTGGGCTTGGACTAGTTGAGCGGTATACGCAAGCAGTTTGGACTTTTTCTGGGCCATCCACTCAGGAAGTGAGAATTTTCAACCAAAGCCTAGCCCGGAAATTCGGGCGAACTTGCAGAGCTGAGCTCTTTCCTGGCACAAAATGATGCCTTCACCGGAGCCTCTGAAAAGGGGTGCGGGGGTCCATGACGGATGGAGTCTATTTTGCAACTACCGCTCTTGGGTGTGTGTTTTGCTTGGTTGTTTGAGTGGTTTGAGTAGAGTTTGTTACATTGTGTTACATAGTTGCCGCATCTTTCGGTGTCCGTGGCAGGGGCGTCCCGTCCCATTCCGAGCACGGTCCTCGCCGCAGGCCCACGAAGTGAAAGAAGGATATCTCAAGAGGGCTCCTTCAAAGATACATTTTGCCCATTTGAAACATGGCTTTCTCCGCCAAAATAAAGGGACACAGGTGTATCATGTAAGGATCCCTGCTCAATGTGACACGCAAAGCTTTTGCTCGGGTATTGTAGAGAGAGAGGGAGACAGGGAGATCCTGATTTAAGAAGCCCAGGCCGGGTTATCTCGTGAATTTTAGGCCCACATGTTCGGAACCTGCCCCCCTGGCTAGCGACCACACTGAGCCAATCAGGCTGTGCCGGTTTGTCAGCTTTTGGTGATTCTCAAAGCCCGCCCTAGTTGGAGAATCCCCGCTTTCAATCAGTGTCCGACTTTACTTTGAGAGTGGTGCAACTTGCTTTTACCCCAGCGAGTGCCCATGGTCGTGCCCATAATGCTTAGACACACCAGCTTTGATGGTAATTTTGAGAACGGCACGTTCATGGATTGAGACAGCTGCCCAGGTCCCTTTCTTCTTGATTCCCTGCATGTTGATCATAAACCACGGTAGCTTGCAAAATCTTCTGCTTGTCCCCTCCTTGTTCATGTTTAGGGACTCCGCCCAAGCGCGGTTTGTCTATTGAAAGTTGAATGTCCCCCTTGCAAAGGGCCCGTAGCTGCTGACATGAAGCGCTATATACCCCCTTCATGTTATTTGGGGGGGTGGGTCAGGAGAAGAGTTTATTGGCCCATTTAACATTGCCAGGCTGAACGAACGATGTTGCTGTTCCCCTTTGGGGCTTCCTTCACTTCCCCTTTTAACCAACAAGTTCACTTTGCCTATGTTCACAGTTTTCTTTGGGGGTGGCCTCGGGGTAGAAGCCCTCTACCCAAAGCCAAATCAATCATGGAACCAACAAAACCTTCTCTAACAGGGACCCTCGTGCGCATCCCCCAAAAAGGCGGTTTCTTCAATGAGGTGTCCCTCTAAACCACCCCAAAATGGTGGTCTTCCATGAACTTTTGCCTGGTCTTTGAGGGCTACCTCTCAAAAGGCAAACAAAACATTTACCCACCAACTTTCGCCTGGTCAAAGGGCTACCCTCGAAGGCAAACAACACATTTACCCACCAACGTTTGCCTGGTCTTTGAGGGCTACCCTCAAAACATTTACCCACCCACCCAAAGGTCAAAGGGCTACCTCTCAGAGGGCAAACAAAACATTTACCCACCCACACAGACTGATGGCTACCCTGAAAGGCAAACCAGGCACTTACCCACCCACCCAGACCCACGCTGGGGTTCAGGCTTTCAACCTCCCACCTCTCAGGGGAGCCGCAGCTGGCCGGGCAACGCCGCGCAGGTGGTGTCCAGCCTCATCGGCATGCAGGCGACGCAACGGGCAGAAACGCTGGCGCGCGCGAGGCCATGCAAAGATGATGGTCTTCCATGGGGTTAAGTTGTTTTTTGTGTATTTTTCCCTGTTTGTTTTTGTAAAGGGAATCGGTTTCACTACTGGACTTGTTTTTATTGTTTTCCAGGGGACGAAAAAGCAAATGGAGGTTGCTTGACTGTCTTAAAGAATAATTGCTCCCCAGATTAACGTGGAACACACACACACACATCCAAATGGAGGAATTGGTGTTCGCCATCTTTCGCACTGGTTTTGCGGTGAGTCGTTTCTCAGGTGGACGCGCAGGGCCTTAGCGGATGCTATGAGACCCAGGAAGCTGCGCGGGCCGTGCTGCAGGACGTTTTTGCGGCGCGTCGATCGCGCTTGGCTGGGTGCTCGGAGGAAAAAAAGAAGAAAAAACGGCAATGTGTTGGTCAACATGTCCCCCCCAAAAAAGAACAGTTAAAAAAGAGGGTGCCCCCCCCCCTTTTCAAGTGACTTTGAAGGGAAACCAAAAGGAAGACCACTATTCTTGGTTCCTCCCCCCATTTTGTCACACCCATTTTGTCACATATTTGTTGCAGATCTTGAAGTTTGTTCGGCCATGCTGAGGCTATGGATGTGTCTCTTGGAGGGTGCCCTTGTTGGAGGTTGGTTTCAGGGAATAAGAAGGAACGCCACCCGAATTGAAGACAAGCCCATAGCGGTTGTACATCCCATTCAACAACATCTGGTCCCCGTAGTGGTTTGAGGGTAGAAACCACGTTGGGCCAGCATGCTTTTTCCAACAGGAGCGGGTATGTGCCGAACTTAAAAGTCCAAAATGGTGGTGTCCCTCTTGGTGTCCCTTCAAACCAATCTCAAAAGGCATGCTGACTAGGGGGTTTAACCCCTGGTTCTTGCGGAGGGATGGGAAATCATCCCCTATCCAAACCACAAATCAAAACCACCAACCACTCCCCTGAAAATTAACATGGAACCCAAAACTCAAAAGGAGTGTCGGCTTTGTGGGTTCTATGTCAATCTGTAGGGAGGATTGAGATTTGAGAGTAACCACGGATCCCAAATTGGAAGCCTAAGAGGAGTTCAAAACAGGAGGGGAAACCGCCCTATCCACCGTTCTTGAAGGATATGTATACATGCATACATGACTGCATATTATTTTAAACATCATGCATGCATGTAACATGAATACATACAGTTACATACAGGTACATACAGTTACAAACGGCTACATACAGCTACATGCAGTTACATACAGTTACATACATACATGCTTACATACATACATACATACATACATACATACATACATACATACATGATTACATACATACGTACATACATACATACGTGCATACCTACTTACATACATACATACATACATACATACATACTCACATCCTTACATACATACATACTTACATACATACATACGTACATGCATACATACATACATACATACGTGCATACATACTTACATACATACATACTCACATCCATACATACATACATACATACATACATACATACATACATACATACATACGTGCATACATACATACATACATACTCACATCCATACATACATACATACATACTTACATACATAGATACATACGCACATGCATACATACATACATACGTGCATGCATACATACTTACATACGTACTTACATACATACATACTCACATCCTTACATACATACTTACATACATACATACGTACATGCATACATACATACATACATACGTGCATACATACTTACATACATACATACTCACATCCATACATACATACATACATACATACATACATACGTGCATACATACATACATACGTACATGCATACATACATACATACATACTTACATACATACATACGTACATGCATACATACATACATACATACGTACATGCATACATACATACATACGTACATGCATACATACTTACATACTCATACATACGTACATACATACATACATACGTGCATACCTACATACATACATACATACGTACATGCATACATACATACATACATACGTACATACATACATACGTGCATACATACTTACATACATACATACTCACATCCATACATACATACATACATACTTACATTCATAGATACATACTCACATGCATACATACATACATACATACGTACATGCATACATACTTACATACATACATACTTACATACATACATACGTACATGCATACATACATACGTACATGCATACATACATACATACATACGTACATGCATACATGCTTACATACATACATACGTACATACATACATACGTGCATACATACTTACATACATACATACTCACATCCATACATACATACATACATACATACATACTTACATACATAGATACATACGCACATGCATACATACATACGTACATGCATACATACTTACATACATACTTACATACATACATACATACGTACATGCATACATACATACATACGTACATGCATACATACTTACATACATACATACGTACATGCATACATACATACATACACAGTTGTTGTATACTTATATAATCATATATACGTGAAATCATTTAAAAGGGCGGAGATCCGGCGAACCCAAGCAGCCCACCGGCCGGGCCAGGACTTGGGCCTCACGCTGCTGCGGGTGGAGTCCCACGAGCCTGCGGAGCTGCGAACCACCCAGCCGCTTGGCCCACGGATCGCACGGATGGTCGGATGGCTTGCTGAAAGGAAACAGGAACGAATCCAACCCTTTTCAGTTGGGCTTCGCAATGCTGTTCCCAGAGCCCACCAGCATCAGGATGTCCATAAAGCGCGAGCATGAGATGACAGACAGGGTCCTGCAATAGTTTGACTCGTGGTCACTGCAACTCATTTGTTGCGGGGAATGATTAAGCATTCGCCAACATAGGGTTGCTTCTTTTGTTTATGGTTTCCATCTGGTTCAGAAAGTGTGTGGTTTTCTGAGTCGGTTCCAACCAACGTCAACATCAACGTTGTGGTTTCAAAAGCTTGGTTTCCGGGTGCGAAATGGAGTTCGCAACCATCCACAGTATTGCATGTATACCACACCCACCAGCAAAAAACATTGCGGTTAAAATTAGGGAGTTCCCTTGTTCCTCTACTTCCTATATGGGTAGAACGGGGCATCCACCGCACAATGGGCAGCAATTCAATAATCCCATGAGGATTTATGTCCACCAGCGAAAAAATGAATGGTTCCAACCATTCATTTTCATAGCCATGTGTCACAAGATGTTTTCCTGGGGTTGGCAACACTAGTCACCAGCTGACCCCATTGCATGGTTCAATTCATATTTTTTGGGAGAAGTAGCTGGAGAGCGTGTCAAATCTTGAAGAGAGTCAGGTGTCAAACGTGCATTGCTAGAGGTCTTGGTGAAATACGCCATGCATGAAACAAGCCCGGCACTTGCGGGCCCGCTTTGAGATTCGTTCTTCACTTAGACTTCCACAATTCACACGTGCCCCAAATGCTGCGAGCAAAACTCCTTGGTCAAGGCTCAAAAAAGAGAGCCCAACGAGTTCCAATCAGGCCAATATGGGGTCAAATGTAGGATACATTTCAAGGGTTTTGGGGCAACCCACGGTACAGTTTGTGCACCTGTCTTTTGCGCTTTTCTTCAACTGTTTGCCGGTTTTGCCCGGTTTTGCCCACTATTTTAGTTTGCACTTGCACGCATTGCGATGCAGTGCCCCTAAAAAGGGCTGGAAAACCCACAAAACAGGCTCCCTCCGTGGAATGTATAGACCGCACTTCACCGAGTAACAAACTGAAGACCCGCGGGTTCCTAAGAGGGCTGGTGCCCATTGAAACCAACCTCATTCGGGCACCAACTGTGCAAAAAGGAGCCACGCCCAACTGAACGTGCCATGAAAAGCGACCTCCGGCCGATTTGTCCTTTGGTTCCAAATAGGGAACCCTGCAAAGAAAAAGGGACCGCACCCCAGTGCGACGTCCCTGTTGAAAAGCCCGCTCGAGACATCGATTCGGATTTGTTTGCAGGTTTCACTTGGCTCAGTTTCTGACCTTCTCAATGGCGCGGCCTTCTTTGCAGCACCTCGGATGAGTCGAGCCACGGATGCCCCGCATATTGCAAGCGAACCAGCCAACCGCACCCACCCACCAAACCATGGTTGCTCAAAGCCTTTGGAGAGCCCTAGCCCTGACACAAAACCGAGATGTTGAGTCAGCTTCGTTTGACAAATGAACGGATTGTTTCCTTGAAACGCGTTGCTCCAATTGTTTTCAGGAAGGGACGGCATCCTACGGCCCGTTTTGGGGTTGTCACAGTTTATTCCATTCATCGTTCCCTGCTGATGATAGTGGCCTGTATCAGGGTGCCTGTTCCAAAACACATTTTATATAACCAACAACTAAACCTCCATCTTGCAACGCAAGCAGACAATAGGTTTCAAAACATGCTAGATAGCAAATATCATTGGTGTATCCAGACGTGTGAGGACAGGTGTCTACGTAAGCACCAAGGCCTCTACCCTTGCAACTCCAACAAAACACGACTCGACCTATTTGTTTGGTTTTTCCAGGAGGCTTAAGCAAATGGAAGGTTTGCTTCCGCTTCCCTCTAAAAACACTCCTCGCCAATATGGCTGTGGTGGTCAAAACCGTTTTGGGATCCCATTTCGGGGTAGGTGAATTGACCACCCATTTTAGTACCTTTTTTAGTTGGGATTGGGGTTGGGATTGGGGGTACGATTTGGGCCATTTCTGTTCAGGGGGGTCGTTTTGCCGCCTTTTGTGAGAAAATGAATTGGCAACCCCCTCAAGGAATGCTTCACTACAAGAGGGTCGATCATTTTTCCACCGATGGCAAAAAGACCGCCCTTCGGTTCGAGGAACGGCGCGGCCCTGCAGCGCTACATCGAGACCCTGCGTCAGAGCTTGGACTTCCGGGCCACGTGGCCCACGGAGCCCCTGGAGGACAACAGGCGGAAGAGGAGTCGGATGGCAGGGAGTTGGGTCAAGGGAAAACTCGGGGGCTTGGGTGCAGGAGGGAAAGACACGCAAATGCAACAGGTCAATGTGTTGAACCTGGGCTTCCTTTTTTCTTAAAAGAACTTCTCACCTCCTGAGTCTATGGACTTTAGACTGTTTGGGTTTGGACCATGGTGGGAGTCCAAAAGTTTGGAATTTTGGTTGGGCCATCCACTCAGGAAGTGAGAAGCCCGGAGGGTTGGGTGCAGGTCCAGGGAAGGACACTGGATGCAACAGGTCAATGTGTTGAACATGGCTTCCTTTTTTCTTTCTTGGGGGCTTCCCTTTTTAACGGCAACCATCACAAACAAGTTGCCTTTTCGTTTGGAACTCCACTGGTTCTACTGGGGGAGGCTCCGAAAGGCGCACTGCAAGCGAGCCGACCGAACTTGACATGTGCGGTTTCCCACATTGGGATTCAAAAGGTTGACCCTGTGTTTCGTGTCGCTTTGGTTAGTGAGCAAAGTTGTTTGGTTTTGATAAAATCTTGATGGATTGAATGCGAATGTCCATCATGAATGGCAAATCTCTAATTGTTTGGTGGCGCTTCAAGTAAACGGAATGTATGAAAGCGTAGTTCAATTGTGTTATGTATTTTCATGACAACTGGCTGATAAATCGATAGACCGCTAAGCGGCCTTTTATGGACAAACTCTCGTCCTGGTTGGAAGCTGGCCAGAAGCCTTGTGCTGAATTGCAAGCAGTGGCTTTGACATCATAGCTATGGTGCAAGAGGGCCCTACCGGCTTTGCCGCTGAACAAAGGCAAGGTTTGTGCAGGTGCCATAATGCAAAAGTTCGGGATGTCTGCACCAGTGCATGTTTCTTTTGCTTGGCGCACATCTCCTGCAAGCTTCTTTTGGTTGCCTTTCTTTGCCTTACCTCTTAACAACACATTTTTTCAACTTCTTGGGGTAACATGGGCTATATGTCTGTAAAAGATTAACTTCCCCAGGGCTTGGAGTTTTAAGGGGTAAGTTGCTGGAACCAAGGAGGCTCCAGCTTGGCTTATTTCTTATTTCATGCTTCCCCAGTCAGCCTGCCCCTGACCTCGAAGCAAGCGCCGAGGCCAGAGGCAGAGCCCAACGAAGGTTGACCCCGAACAACTCATCAGGAAGAAAGGAATGCCCACTAACCGAGGGGACCCGGAGGACCCCCTTAACAACTTTGGTGCATTCTGCTTGGATGTTAGGACTTTAACGTTTTGCCAATTAATGGGTTTGCCATTACACCACTAAAGGTTAAACTTTTAGCAGGGGAGCAGAAAGCAACCGAGACAAATGGGGGTTGGTGACTCAGGGTTGACATTAAGTTGTTTCAAAGCTGATTGCTTCAAAAAGCATTGCAATCCGTGCCCGCTCAAATGAGCGGTTTTGGGCCCATTGCCGCAGGCAGAACACTTTGCTGGAAGGCGAGGACCACATTATCTTCGAGCACTGCTCGGAAGGTCTCATTCGGTTCTTTGGCTGCTGGAGCATAGCTAATTACCCCTTGGGATGGTTTAAACATATTTCTGTTTTTTCTTGGTAGGCTGTGGAAGCTACAGGGTCATGGAAGTCCCGACAATAATTTTGAGCTGCATGCCAGCATGGGTTTGTCTCAGAGTACGAACCCCACCCCAGAACCAAGGTCATGACAAGACCGGTGCATCGATTGGGATCGGGCAAGGCCACGCCCGCTGATTGCTGAGGTAAGTGTGCATGTGGACAATTGGAGCGCGTATCCCACCCCAGAAGGTTCGCAGAAGCCGTTTTACACAGAAGCTAAGAACCTTTCCTGAGGGCGTGGGTGTTTGTTTTTTCCTTGGAAGGTTGCCCCGGTGGCTGCGCGACTGAGGCTTCACTGGATGAACCCGCTTCCCAAGCCAGCATTTCGCCTGCATCGATTGTGCGGGGGCTGGGGTGGATTTTCCTTTCGCGTTTGCAGGCCCAGTTGAGCTGCGCACAAGCTGATCAATCCCTCAAACGGGTTCCAGAGCTGGGCAACTGCATCGAGTAGCAAGGTCATAGTCTTGCAGTGGGAAAACTACGTGCAAAGTGACATTTCCTTTCAACCGACGAAAACCAACCCAGGGTGAGAGGTACACAGAAACGTGCCTGCTTCTGGTTGTGGCTTCGCAGTCGGAAGGAGAAATTGTGCATGGGGAATTCCCCATTTCTCACTCCAGGCATTCGTGGACTCTTGGCGGTTTGGGGAGACATTTCTCACCCAAGAACAAGTTTGGGTTTTGTTGGCCCAATCCACTCAGAAAGAGATTCTGAACCCTGATTTGTCTTGGCAAGATGCTTGGGCTGGCTGGATTTTTGGCCAGTTGCTTGTTCTTTACATGACCTTGCCCTTTCTCATGCGCAGAAAATACCACGCAGCTGATTGCCAGCTTACAGCCCAACTTAAGGTTGGTTTCCTCTGGGGATGAGGCGGCAGATTGGAAATATAGGGAGTCCAACGCAAAAAACCAACCAAGCGAACACCAGGTGCCCAGTAGGGACCATTGTAGGATACTGGCAACTGCAGTGCAGCATTTGCGATGGCAACATCACCCCGTTTAATCCTTGTCGACAGGGCCAGTCATGCACCTGTTTTTTGGCTTTAGTTCCATGATACATGTAAAGTGTCCATTTGAGGATACATCGAACGAAAGAGTGTCGATGGCGCACAAGGCATGGCTGCAACACGGGGGATATCAGTGCGATGTGTGCTTCGACCCGGACATTCGTCTGGGATATCAGCATGTGCAAGCCTCAGGAAGGAGGGAGGGCTTCTTTGGAGAAAGTGTGGGAAGGTTTGGCGGTTGTGCGCGCCAGTGTTTGTTTCTGTGCGCTGGCCTCGCCGCGGGGCCAGGTTTGCCAGTATGCAGCGTTTAGGTTGGCCATAAAGCCACGACATGTTGTTGTTTTTTCATTTTCTAATTCAACAATCCCTTTGATTTCAATAAAAACATAGTTTAGAGGAGGGACCTTATCATTATCCTTCTCCTATCCCTCACAAACTGATTCAGGCCCAACAAGCTCCAACGTCAGGTCGTGTGATCCAACGGGCTGGTTCTTGGCTCGTCGGGCCAAGAACCGGGCACGGCCAGCAACAACTTGATAGATGTGATGGCCATCAGGCTTCGACTCGTGGCTGGTTTGTCTCTCCAAAACCACTGGTTTTGGGGGGGGGGGGGTCGGACCCCTACTTTGAGAAAAACAGCCTATCACTGGACGCGACGCTTTTTTTGCCCGGCCGAGGTTACGGAAGACAATGCCAGAGACCATTCAAAGCTGCTGGAGGAACGCACAGGGTACGCGCCTCGCCAAGTTGGCGCTTGGGGTGCTGGCGATGGCGCTGGGTTGTTTTCTTCAGGCCTCAGTGCTTACGCCAGCTGGTGGGTCCTTTGTCGCGGTGTCCCGCTATGGATTGTCGTGAAAACCTGTTTAGTGGTGTCCCGCTACGGAACTCGGATTATGGGATTCCCCTGTTGCGATTTGAACAAGCCAGCTCGCCGGCCGCTCGCCTTGGCCAAAGTCTGTGGCAACCTAGCCGGCTTAGCGGGCGTGACGTGGAACCTGGAGTGGGCTATTTTGCTCTGATAGGGTAGCTGTTCATTCCAGGCGCTCACCCCACCTAGCTGGGAAGGAGTCAAGGAGCTGATCTAGGGTTGCCTTTCAAGAAGGAGCTGAGCTGCCGTTAGTTCTGTAAGGACATACCCCAGACAAACCTCATCACTTGGGTCTGCAAATCGACCCGAAGTGTCCACCGTCCACCGCCCCGGCTCAAGGCTTGCCTTGTGAACTGCGACCGGCTAAGGACTTGTGTGCCACGTGCGCTGAGAAACATGTGCTGGGCACGAGGCAGCGGATCCTATCTTGGATCTCCAGCGGCTCGGACACCAAATGAGCCACGTGCTCAAAACGGGTAGATGAAGGTTAGTAAGGGACAATCCCCTTGCCATAAATAGCTGCGGATATCCGGCTTCTTGATTCCTGAAGCATGGTTCTGGGTCGACCATGTTAATACCCGGTTTTGATTGTGACTCAAATGCCGTCGGAAGACCCCCGCAAAAAAACACCTTCGTAACATGTCTGGGTCATGTCTCTTTTGTAGGAACTGGTGGTGTGGCCCGTTGGGCTGTGGCGATTGGTATTGCCAGATCTCCAAAGCTCAGAACATGTCTTTTGCCCAAAGCTTGGGGCATAGCTGCGAAGCAAGCTAGCAAAAGCAGAACACGCGCACAGGGTTCTTGCGTGGGCAAAAGGCAACGGTTTTTTTGGGGTGTTCTCTGGTTCACATTATTTTTGGTGGGGGGGGGGGCAGAGAGAATAAAGAAGAAAAAGGAAAATACCGGGGCGCGGAGTCAGCCGATTTTTTTGAGGGGTTCGCATGCGTTCCCAGCTTGAGAGAGTCGAGGCGTATCTGAGAGCCGCAGCTTCCAGCGCCTCGGGGACAAGTTGGAGCTCCGCAGCTTGGAGAAGAAGCATTGGCAGATGGGGGCTCCTGCATGGCGTCCTTTGACACGTCTTTTACCAGCAGATTGGGTTTCCATTTTCCAAGGGTTGGGCTGCGAGTGAGGTTCTTTGGCTAGGTCCCCCATCTCTCCCCTTTTCTTTGGGGAGGGTTCCCCTAGTAAAATAAGCTCCGGAAATAGTTGGTACCCTTATTCTAACCTCTCTACTGGAGGACCAAGCTTCTTCCATTTGCTGATGCCGGAGAGGGATGCCGTCCGCGAGCCTGGGATGTTATAGATTACCACGTGTGTTGGTTGCTTCCATTTGCTGAATGTGTTTCTATTTTCCCTGTTGGTTTTCAAAGGGAATCGATTTCACTACTGGGATCATTTTTATTTGTTCCAGGGGGCGAAAAAGCAAATGGAAGTGTTGTGTGGGGTGACACAGACCCCTCCATTGGACGAAAGGGTTTGAGGGTCTCAAACTGAGGGCAAGTTTGTGAATTGTACCCAAAAGGAAGCCAACAGGGCATGTGTATTTGTTTCGTGGTTCCAGCCCCCAGAAAAATGCCCAGCCTAAACGCCCAGTCATGTTCTGCATATGGATCTGTTTGGCCTGTAACCTGATAACCGTTTTTAGTTCCAGCAAAGGGGTCCCTTTCAAACGGCACACATGCTTGACAGCTGGAACCTGTGTATTGGAAGCTGTTGAATTGGCTTTTTGAGACATTCCCTTCCCACCCTGCTAGTCCCTCAACACATCTCGCGCTGGTGTTGCCACCTTCCTTGGCTCACTGCTCCTCTGCTTTAGGTTTCTCCACTGTTCTGGGTCCCTGTTGATTGCTAAATCACACGTTTTTCAATATAAGGGGCCCTGCTTGGCTGGCTTTCAAGGGAACCAAAAGGGAGCCAGCCATATTTTTGGTGCCCGACTCCCAGAAGCTACCCCTCCCCCGGCCCTTCGCGTTTGAACCGACCAAGGCTTGTCCGTGAAGCGTGCGGGAAGCGCTGCCGAGATCGAGGCTGAAGGCCCGCGGAGATTCGTGGCCCATGTCGTGTTTCAAGTGTCCAGTTTAGGGACAGGGAGTCTTCGGTGTTTTCTTTCCAGATCTTCTATTCTTGGCAACCAGTTTACTCAGCGACCTCCTTTGGAGCATGTTCCTTGCTGCCACATGATGACCCAGGGTTTCCCGAGCACGCCCGATGGCGTTGAGTCGCTGCGTGCAGGTTTTTCAGAGGGAGCCACGTGCAACCTGCTGACGAAAGAAAGAAAACCTTTGGTGCATTTTGCTTGGATGTTAGGACTTCAACTTTTTGACAACAGTGGATTTTCCATTAAACCACTAAAAGTTTCCTCCCATCCAACTGTGTTCTTGTAACACGCCTGTCCGCCGATGTAGCTGTTTGGGGATGGGGCGCTGTGGTGTGTGGTTGGCACAATGAGATTCCGCATTATGGAGTCAAACCGATACCACAGAGGGCTCAATCAGCAGGTTGCCAGGAGAAGCTGGTTCTTGCGCTGATGCTCGCGGGTATAGCTCGTTCCGGCTGCGATCCGACCGCCATCCCGCCCCAAGCCACGATTTAGTTGTATTTTGGCGCGATCTGGGCGCGATTGGAGTCCGACGCATGCGATTGCTCAAGAAAGAGTGCTGTAAGAATGCCTGAGTGGACGCATGCACCGCCCTGCCATCCGGGCGCCGTGTCCGGCGCCCCTTGCAAGTGAAAGCAAGCAACACAGGAACGCGCTTTCATTCACTACCGTTTTCTTTGCAAAGTTTCGCTGGGTCATTTTGTGCACAATTTTCAGCTGCACAACTCGCGCACCTGTTGACTCTCGAGTTTCCAACATCCCCCCAGCAACCCGCATACAGGAAAGGCAAAGTGTGCGGAAGATTAGTGGTGCGTGCCCCGGAACCAGCTTAGCCTCATTCCAGCTTACAAGCGTGCTCAAGAACTAGTCCTTCGTAACCCGGTTCCGTTCGCTTTTGCTTTGAGCTGAACAATCAGCTCAAAGAAAATTCCGAAAATTGCTCACAATGGCCACCATGGCCTCGAGTTTTTAAGCTCCTGGCATTATCAGAGAGCCGAATGAAGCCAAAGCCCCGGCTTACGAGGCGGTGTGCCGCATTGCCCGAGGGTTGAACCAGAGCTGTGGCATGCCAAACATCTTATCATACTGCTCATATGGCTGTGGGTCAAAACCAATGGTTCCATTTTGGCGTCGGTGCACCACCCACGTTAGTCTATTTGAATGGAGATTGGGATGTTCACTGGGGGTACGGCATTTTGACCCATGGCCATATAAACGCAAAGACGAATTAGGTGGGAAACTAAGGGAAGCTGCTGTTGTCCAGCAACTGGCGTCTACTGTCATGATTCCACCCCGCAACCCGCTTCTCCGCGCGACCCTCTCATTCGGTTTCCCACATACCGTGGGACCGTCCAGGTGAGGGAAACAAGGATGTACGGCTCGACGTAAATTGTAATTACACGCATCAGTGTTGTCAGAGCAAAGTAATCTGGGAGAGTGCGAGCCAATGAGGGGATGGCCCGGCATTTTTTGTATCAATTGTCATTCCCACAAACATATGGGAAACACAGGCTAAGCACACAAGAACACTTTGTTTGGATTGAAGGGGCAATGTTTGAAAGGAGACATGGAACAACCAAACACTCGCCACTAAAAGTACTACAAACAGGCAAGCATCAGTGTGCGTGGCCCGCTCTTGGATATCCGTCCAGGGTAGTCCCCTATCGGTTTGTTGTGGTAGCAGTCCCGTGCAGATCAATATGAAACCCACAAAGCGTGCCCAGAGAAACACAATGTTTTTTGTGGCGGTTCCATCTCGACCTGCAGGAGTGCATGCTCAGTTGCTCAGGTTTCACCATAAGTTTGTGTGTTTGTTGTTTGGGAACCTCTTTGTGTTTAGTTGTTAATGGGGAAGCCAAGAGGAAACCAACCACCAGGATCCCTCATTTAGTTTTGAAAGGAGACACTGAAAGATGTGAGCAGCGGCCTGTCCCTTTGCCGACGAACGAGCCACATCCGCTATGGGGAAATCGGTTTTCCCCACACCCAACCCACTTTTCTATTTCCTTGCTAAACCACCCTTTGCCGGGTAAGACTCACTCAAAAAGTTGAAGAGTGTTTTTTTCTTTGTTAAACCAACCATTTTCCGGGTAAGTCTCGCTCAAAAACTTGCAGCGGATTTTTCCGGCGAGGCTCTGGGGGCCTGCATTGCGCAGTGGCAGTGCTGCCGCTCGAGGCTGCGGTTCCAAAAGCTTGGCTCTCCATGGGCAGGACGCATACGGGGGACGGTCTGAGTGTGGATGGACGGAATCCATTTCGCACCACCTACGACACCCTGGAATGATGGTTCCCCTGTAAATACCAGCAAACAATGGTACTTTGCAAGCATGGGAATCCATAGTTTGTTGAAATCATACTTCCAGGGCTTCTCTTAGGTGGTGCGAAATGGATTTTGTCCACCCACAGTAGTGTGGATGGTTGCGGAATCCGCTCCTCGCGTCAAGTAGAGAAACCATGATTGAAACCATCAGCTTGATTTGAAGATTCGGTGAATGCCCCTATATCGAAAGTAAACGAAGCACTCCCCACAAAACCATGCTTGAAATGTCGGAATAGAATTCGGGGCCCTCGCTTCCCTTGTTCCCCTTGCATTCATGGCAGGAATCAGCATCCACCATTCTACTTCGGTTTCTGAAACACGACCCTACTGTGGATGGTTGAGAAATCCATTTCGCACCACCGTTCAGAACCATTGGTTCTGATTCGATTCCCCACTGTACATATCAACCAACGATCTGGTTTCAACCATGGTTTCCCTTGTATATACAAGCCATAGTATTTTCCAGGTAAGACACGCTCGTTATTGGGCGACCCCCATTTTACCTGTGAATTCAGAAGCTCCTTTGACATTTGTGGGGTCCCCGCCACCATTTGGGAAGGGGGGGGTTCTCCCTTTAAAAATCACCCTCGCGAATTAAAAAGGGAATCTCAGAATGGGCTCGCCCAAAAGGAGATTCCTCTAAAGGCGGACGGAACCTGTGTGTTCCTTCCGTTCATCTTGTTGGATGGCACAAATGAGTTGTTGTTGGATTTGTTTCCACCCGATTACTTAAGGAAAGTGACTTCTCTTTTTTGCTCGGCCATGACTCGAATTCTACTCTCCCCCAAAGGGAGATTTCTCTACAAATGATGGCCACGTGGGTTCCATGTTCCATTTCTGCGTTGTTCAAGGGGTGCGGCGGTTTTTGTTGGGCGGGGTTTTCTAGCGTCGAGCGACCAGACGGCCTCCTCTTAAATGAAATTTTGGGCATGGCCTTCACCAGAAGCTAGACATGTGGATGTATCATCTTTCTTGGGCGACCCACAAAATTGTGGTTTGCCTTCTGGTTCCCCTTTAAAACCACAAAAGGTACCCTCGGAAGAAGCCTCCCCCGTGTTTTCCCCATCCATCGTGTGAAGAGCTCGGCACCACATCAAGCAGATGTGTCGCACCCTGGAGGAAGCTAGCTTCTAAGCTACCTGGGCCTGCGCCCCTGACGCTCTTGATGGTCTTGGCAAATGCAGATGGGGTGTGAAACTGCCGTGCATGCAACCCAGTTGCCCTGTGCGGCCCCAGGCCCTTTTTGCTGTTTGTCTTCGGGGGGGAAGGGTTTCCCTTTACAGTCAACCAACCAAAAACAACGATGTTCCTTTTCTTCCCATGGCCACTGGGCATCTGAGCCAATATTCATGGAAGTCGGCTGCAAATCGACATATGACCCTCTTTCCAAAAGTCACAAAGGGGTTCAAGATTGTAAGGCCGTGGGTTCACATAGAGTTCCTCCCCCGCCTCAAAAAGTCTTCTCCGTAGCTCACCGCTTGGAAGACGAGCATTGGCCCACCCTTCATGGGCCGCACACGTCCAGCGCACCTTGGTTCAGCCCCTGTGGCGCGTGGTAGCGCAGTGGCTCAGCTCTGCACATCCTGGTTGTTGTTGGGAAACATTTTGCATGTTTGCTTCTTGTGGTTTAGTGGTTGAAATCCCCACCTAACTGCCAAAGTTTAAGTTTTTGCTACCCTTCCAACGTCAACCAAGACATATTGGAACCCAATATGAAGCCATGGCTATGTCGAAACCCTTTGGTCTTTGGCCGGTTTTCAGCCAGCGGTGAAACCTTGGTAGAAACCCATGGGTCATAGCTTAATGGTCCACTCAAAAGGCCCAACATGGTGATGGCGGTCCATACAGTTTGCCTGAACTTGCAGCAACTTACTCCCCAGCAGGTCAACAAAAAGCCCAAGAAACTATTCATGTTTGGAGGCGTCTCTTTCGGGGAATCGCCCTGGTCCTTCATCAATATAGGCGTATCCACGGATAGCATGGGATAGCCCCCCTCGCTTTATGATGTATATTTTATGGCCCCCCCAAAATCCCATGAACATGAGTTCCATATTTCTCCCCGGCTCCGACCCCCGCATGCCGCGTTCACCGGGGTCGGAGACGTCAAATTGCTCTGCGCGTTTTCCTTGTGGTCGCGAAGACTGAGTTGTAGGCCCACTTCCTGTGCATGGCCAAGGGGACCCTTTTCAACGTCAAGCGGTTGTGGGGATGGCCAGTTTTGGTGCAGTGTTAGTGCGTTTTATCAGTCCAGACTGTGCTGTTTTGGATTTGTTCATCCACAGTAGCACAGAAAGGGTGAAGATTCCACATCCGTGAATGTGCTTGGTGGTTACTTTTGGAATCTGAATGGCCCAGTCACCGCCAAAAGAGCGCAAGGACGCCGACGTCTAAGCCGCGAAGGCAACACGGGCTGAACTTGATTTGGTGTTCCGAAACTTGGCGCGGCTTTTAACAAGCCCCAAGACTCTGGATGAGCGCAGTTACGGGCAGAACGCTCGCTAAAACTGAATGTCGCGCGCCGAAGCACACTTAGCTGCTTCCAGCTGCGCTTCCAGCTACCACTGGAGCAGGTAAGTACAACTCTTGACCGGCCTGGCCCAAAACAAACGCCAACAATTTGTTTGCCACTAAAAGTGAACTCCAAAAGCTAAATTCAGAAACTGCCATGTCCACAAGAGCTGGCATGGAAGGACGCATCACCAGAGACAAGGAGCACCTGGTTCCCGACCACAAGCGCCGGCATGCAACAAATGCAAAATTACACCGCAAAATGCATGTCTTAGAAGGAAAATCCCCAAATCCCCCCGAAATGTCCCGGCTCGCGAAAAAGGAACTGGAATGATCTTCCCACCCAAAAATAACATCAAGTACCCAGAGGCAAGGATCAGCTTCCATGGCCTGGGCTAGGCCACCAGCGCCGGGCCCCACGCCAGGCTGAGCCGGCGGATTCTTTGGGCCAGCTGCAGCTCCGCTGCGCGCAGAGCAACGCCACGGTGCGGCTCGCGGCGGGGCGCCGCGCCTCGGAGCCATCGGGCGGTGAGACCCACAGCTCCAGGGAACGGACGGAGTAATACGGTGGTTGCGAAATCCGCTTCTCGCACCTGAGACCGGGTTGAGGGCCCAAAAACCATCGGGAGCCTTAGGGAATATGCAATAGTTGGTCAACAGGAACCCTAAAGGGGATGCTACTGTGGATGGACAAAATCCATTTCACACCACCTAAGAAACCCTGGGATGATGATTTCCCTGCCAATACCAACGCACAATGGTTTCCCATGGTTTCAAACTGGTGCAGGATTTTGTCCATCCACAGTATGTTATTGTTTTGTGCACCCTGTCAAGGGACGCTCCAACAAGCAGGGGCGGCCGGCTTGGCTTCGCATTGGTTGGGTAGGCCATTGAATGCCAGGTCCAGGTTGTGATTATGACTCAGTTGTTCAGTACGTGAGGCTTAGGTGGTATAGGTTGGCCATATGTTTCAATCTATTATATTTAAATACAAAAAACAAAATTCCCTTGTAAACAGGCATTTTTTAAGGCCTCAGGATGCACGTTCTACTGTTTTCCCTTGTTTGTTTCCCCAGGTGCATCCAGGTTCCAGTTCCGACTTTGGTCTTCATGCCGTTTGTCCCTTGTTTAGTTGAGTCCCTCCCCCAAATGATTCACGCCCCGGAAAATGCGTCCATGGACTACCCGGTCACATGGAGTATGACTCCCCTGTTCTTGTTCAAGGGTTCCAACTAGATTTCCCCATGGTGCGGTTTTGAGTACATGTTTCAGCTGCTACAGTGCGTCTTTGTTTGCTTGATTGCTATCGGCTTGGATCTTTGGGCGTTAACTGTTTGCTTGAAACTTTGTGGGTTTCCATTTGACCCCCAAGAAGTTAAGCTTTTTGCAGAGGGGTCAAGAACAACCAGTTTGCCATAGCATGTTGCAGCCATATCAAACGGCATGTTTGTTTAGCTGCCCTGAAGCCACATGCAAGCAAGTGGCTACTATGTCCTTCGCGTCCCATGCACCAACATAGTAATTAGAAAGATACCCAGAAGACCAATCTGCTTCTGAAGGGACTCTTTGTCAGCTTCCATGGCAACGTGCGTGAGATGGTACATGAACGCCGCCGGGATGCGCTTGCTCGCTGATCTGTGACGAACCGCTTTTGGTGTGGCTCAGTCCCATGCAAAGTTGTGCTAAAATTGTCCCAGGCACCCACCCCAGCCCACCCCCACCCCACCCCACCCCACCCCCACCCAACCCCCACCTCCGTCAGCCAGAGGACAGCTCCTTTGCTCCCGGCAGAGTGCCGAGCGGGCCGAGTGGAGCGCCCTGGCGAATGGATGGATTGGTGCTTTGCCAGGGGTTCAACGCCAGGTGGCTTGGTTTGGTTGGAGCTGAAGTGGCTTCAAGCACCAGGGGCTCAACTCCCCCATGGAAAGACCAAGGGGTAAGCTCAGAAGCATCACCGTTACGATGATGAAACCAAAAAGGCCTCTCTAGGAAACTCCTCTTCGCCCCCGTTTGGAGGGTCCATGCTAATTTGCAGGGGAGCACTCTCACCAAGAAGCTTCTAGGGGAATGCGCTGTGTGTTTTGGTTTTGGCTATTCATTCAGTTTATCAGTTTACCGGGGGCATATACAGAACCCTGAAAAGGCATCCCGAAAGGACGCCACGAGACCTTGCTTGGCAGACTCAAAGGAAACTCACGGAGGGGTTTGCCTGGAGGGTGGTGCTTCAAATCACCAACAGGCGGCATCCGTTGACAGTTTGGTAGGTTTCCTCATCGTTTTTGTCTCAACCAGAGGGCCAGCCCACGAAGAGCAAGGAGCGATTCCGGGGCACTTTGACGGTCCCGCGTCCCTTGCGCCTTGGACTTGACCTGTCGGAGCCTTTCCCCACTAAAATGCCCAGTTCCCCCTTTAACTTTCCCTTTTCAAACACAACACATGCAGATTCCCTGTGCTTTCCCTGCTGAGCGTTGCCTGCTCTCAGTGAACCAAACTGGCTCAAGCATTGTGTTTTCTTCTTCTTCTGTGTCACATTTTCGTGCCCACTGGCAATTTGCTATGGGTGGCAAAAGCCGGTACCTCGGGCTCATTCCATTTCTGATTCCCTGCATCTCTCGACCCGGTCGCATTGGCCCCGAGGTGCGGAGACGCCGGTCTACGCGCTGCAGCTCACGGAGAGTGAAGGCGCGGATGGCGATGAACTTGGAAACTTGGAAGCTTTTCTTGGTTGTTGTTGGGAAACATGTTTTTACATTTTGCTTATTGTGGTTTAGTGGGAAATCCCCACCTAACTGCTATAAAACTTGAATTGTTGCTCCCCTTGCAACGTCAACCAAGTTTTTCTTGAGCCATCAACGCCCTGAGCAGTCAACACGACGGGCGATCTATGAAGCAGAACCTAAACTTTAGAGCCTCCGGCTCAGTCCGCCGACATTGGCATCTAGCTTGTCTCCTTCTTCCTCTCGCCCGTGTCCCCCTAGTATGCTCTTCTGTCCTCTCTGGTTCCCCCATCCTCCCCGACACGCCGAGCAATGTCGGCGGAGTGTTGAGTGCCACCAAGAGGGTGCTCCCAAAAAGGGCGCCGAACCATGCCTCCAAGTAAAATGTTGGGAAAGGGTGGCGACCAAACAGGGCGTACAATTGCGAACAGGAAGGCTCGCCGTTTAGGGCACCTTAGTGCTGGGTGGTATGTCATGGCCACTGCATGTCATTTTGGCGGGGTGCGCGGGTAAGCTGATTTCTGAGAGGTGTTGGGGTTGCCCCTTGTACGGCATTCTTGCTTGCGAGAAGCGTGGCTTAGCATGGCCCAAGTATCCGACACGAAGGACATTGGGGCGACACTTGGAAGGAAGCTGGGGTTGGGGAATTTGCCAGGACATTTGGGGGAAACTGGGGGGGAAATTGGGGGGAAGTCGGATGGAAATTGAAAGGAAAGTGGGAGGGAATTGGTGAGAAAGTAAGGCGCAATTTGCGGGGAAGCATTGGGGGAAATTAGGGGAAATTGGGGGGAAATTGGTGCCAATTGTCAAGGAAATCGGAAAACACAATGTTTTTTTCAATGGTGTCAGCAAAGGAAAAACACCGAACACCGTGTGTCTCAAAGTTTTCCGCAAAAGGCAGCACAAAACCTCAGCCGGCAGAAAGAGGCGGCGGGAGGATTCGAGCCTGGGACCCCCGTTTCTCCCGCTCCCCGAAGACTACGTTTAGTGGAGCGTCATCAAATTGCCGCGCGGTACGCGGGGGAGGGGGGGGGGGGGGTGGCGACCGAAAAACCCTGCGTATTTGACGTGTCCCGGGGGGGGACTAAGGGGGGGGTTATCCTCTATCCTCTCTTAGGTATCCAATAGTCCTCTCTTAGGTATCCGACACGCCGAACAATGTCGGCGGACATCTGAATGTGAAGCAGAACCCTTTTAGTCATGTCGGGCTAAATATGAAGCGGAGTTTAACAAGATGTTAGTTGGTGTTTGGAGGACTCTTGTTTGAGTAAGCAAGTACTCACAGTGTTGTCCTATGGCTTCGGCCCCATTTCGATGATTTACACCATGATTTCGGCAAGTGGATGGAGTTGAGGCCTCTTTTCCCCAACACGGATTGGCGCTTCCAATTCCCACGTTGCTTGGCTTGGGTTGAGTTCCCAAGACATGGTCAGGATGGCAGGCCTGGTTTTGCTTCTGGCTTCCAGACACACAGCTCCAACATGTGTGTGTGTGTGTGTGCGTGTTTGGTTGTTGTTGTCGTTTTGTTGTTTGTTTTTTCTTCTGAGGGTACCCTTTTGGAGGTTGGTCTATCTTGTCACCCCCCTCTCGTTCACACGGAATCTCTTCACATCTTCGTCCGTGGATATAAATGTGGATGAGCAAAAGGGTGAGTGTTGATCCTCTATCTCCACCTCTCCTTAATGTAGAATTATATTTTACTACCAAGTTTATTGTGTTTCTTGTCCACCAAGCTCAATGCACTCCTCTCTCCCTTTGTTTGGTTTTACGTAGTAGTTATTACCCGTCATCTCTACCAGACGAAGGAAGCAGAGAGAGAGAGAGAGAGAGAGAGAGAGAGAGGGAGAGTGCGAGTAATGAGGGACGACGGAAGACAGAGTGATAGACGATATAATAATATTGAGATCGCTGCTATCACTCACTCACTTTCTTTGTTTGCCTCATTTATATGTCACAAACTATTTCTGAGAGACGAGGCAATGGTGAGAGAATCCAAACCTTCCCTTTTTTGTCTGTCCCACAAGCTAGTTGCCTTCATTCGTGAGTAGGGTGGGTGATGTCTCTCCATTTTCTTCTCTTACCACTTGTTCACCCTTTGTCCGCGAGAAAGAGTGAAGAGGGGAGAGGTACAACATGTTTTTCTCTCTCTGTCTTTCCTCCCTCCCTCCCCTCCCTCCTCCCTCCCTCCCTCCCTCCCTCCCTCCCTCCCTCCCTCTCTCTCTTTCTCTGTCTTTCTCGCTCTCTCTCTCTCTCTACGCTCTGGTATGCTTTGCTGTGCGTGGGGGCGAGGATGAGAGAATCATTCATTCCCTTCCCCTTTGTTTAGTCATCTTCGCCATTAAAAGGCAGGAGAGAGGGGACAAAGGACAAGGACAGGGAAGAGCCTCTGATCATTCTCTTGCACCTGTCTCTCCTTGGCAGTCGTTCATGTCAATGTCCTTGAGAAAATCACTCCGGTGGAATAGAACCAAGACGCGAAGATAGGGATAGAGTGAATCTGGGGGGTTTGTCATGAGGCCTCAAATGTTTTCACCAAACGGTGATGACTGTTCATGGAATTCGCCTGCAGCCTCTATTCTGCTTTTGCTCACCAGGAACCGTCCTTTTTGGGTCCCCATACTGTGGATGGACGAAATTCTGCACCACCTAAGACACCTGGAACCATGATGTCCCTACAAATACCAACCAACAATGGTTTCAGCCATGGTTTCAAATTTGTGCAGAATGCTTGCAACTGGGCACCCCCAGTATGTGCAAAAGGTGTGGTTTCCCTCTTGGTTTCCATTTAATGCCACGCAATAATGGATGCCCTAAAGAAGGCTCACCGGTATTTTCGGTTTAGCGAGGCCGGTGGCGCCTCGCGTTTCAGCCTGCGGTGGAAAGCGTGTGGCTGCGAGACCCCCAGCAGTTGGAGGAGCCGTTGCGGCTGGGGGTCTATGGGGCTGTGGGGGGCTGGGGCTGTGGGGTTGGAGTTGGGGGTTTGAGGGGTTGGGGGGTGCGCAAATGCGGAATTGCGGGGTTCGTTCTGTGTGTGGGGAGCTCCCAGGACCGCTGTGGAACACTTGGTTCCAGTACGGAGGCCAATTAGTGCAGCTTTCGGCTGTTAGTCTGAGTGCCTCTCGAGAGGTGACCAATCCCCAACTGCGACCCTGAGACCCAAGGCTTACTCCGGACACTTGCCCCGGGCAGCTTTCAGCTCTGCTAGCACCTTCCGACGGTTGACTTCCCACCCGAATTCCTGGAAGAGGGCACTTGTACCTTGACGCGGTCGCAAACGCAGCGTTTGTTTGCACGAACCGCGCTAGGACCTGAGAGTCCTGGCGTCCCGCGCAGGTGGGCTCATCCAACTGCCGGCTTTGGGTGTCAAGTAGGGTCGCTCCCATGGATGTTCGGCTTAGTTAAGCGGTTTCCCACCCGGGTTAGCACTCACTAACAGGGTTAACTCCACTGAAAGGGGGACTAAGTGGGTTATCACCGATGTGGTTGTCATCCACTATGTCCAAGCCACGACCCCCAAGAAAAGGAACATATATCCCCCTTTCTGGCCATTAACCCCTGAGTGGCAGCGGTTCGGGGGTAGTGGGACACATCTTAGGCGTTCCAAGGCCTCGAAGATCGGAGTTTTCAATGAACCACATGAGTCAGAACCAAGTTTCAGGTAATTTCAGGTAACTGGAAGTTTGCAAGGGACAATCCCAGCCATAGATGGGTGCGGAATTCCGCCTTTTCAACTCTTTACATGGTTCTAGGAAGACCATGTTATTTCGAGTATGACTCATATCCGTGTTGTTCCTTACTACTTGTCTCACATGCAGCAAACTCCCTGTATGGCACAGCAAGCCTGCGTGCTGTTGGCTTGTGCAGTTTATAGCTCATTTACCGCCTTTCTTTGAGAACAATACTGTCTCCCTGCTGAAAAATATGAGCATCATAGAGCAGCGCGTGTGTATGAAATTAAGATTTGGGGTCTGACATCACTTTGTACACAGCGGCCATATCAGCATTGAGTGGTCTCTTACGGCAGTTTGGCTGTGGCTCGCAAATACGATGCCGTCCCAAAGCTCAGCTTGTAGAGAAAAGGCGACAACATTTGTCCGCTGGTTCCCTATTTTTGAACACCCATTTGCTTCAGGGAACTGAGTCTCTGGCCTGGCTTTAAAACAAGAAAGGGGCCTGTCGCTTTTTGTAGGCGAACCCCCAAAATGGTAGCTTTCCTGTTGGGCTCCCTGTAAAACCCACCTAAAAAGGGGTACCCTAAAAACCAGAGACACCCAACCGGACACACTCATTCAGGGTCTCAGTTTTGGACTACCAGATAGACTAAAACCTAGGGGTTCCCTTTTGGAGCTCGCTCCGCCCCCGACATCCCGCGAGGCTGCGTCCACAACATCCCGCGGAAGCCCGCCGACGAGATGCAGCTCACGCGCTCAGTGAGCTCAAGCGATGCAGAGTGGGCAGAGAAGAGCGGCTTGGAGCGAAGGTGACAGGCGAAGGTGACGCGAAGGAAACCACAAGTTGCAAGCCACGCGAAGTGAATAAGCTTCTATTTAATCATTTGCTGAAATCCAGATTCTTTTGATTCTCCTCTGAAGATTGAGGGGGCGTGATTTCACTAAGGGAAAAAGGTGAATATATGTTTTGCAGGGGGCGAAGAGGCAAATGGAAGGCTACTTTTGGATTTGTCTCGTTTTCGGGGGACCCACAAATCAGGTAACCCCCGCTTGGTGGTTTGGAGTGGTGGAAATGGTTCTTGCAGAAGGTAAATGGGACACCACTCCTTAACAAACAAACCACCAATCCAAACCACCTATTAAAGGGAAGCTGGACAAAACGGCTCTAGTTGCTTTCCTTTCGCCACAACTGGTTACCCCAAGAAAAGACAAGCCACACATGTGGTGGACCTTCTCTTCAAGGAACACCTGTTGGTTTTATGGATTTTGAGGGGACCAGAAGGGAGGAACACATATATTTGGGGTGTCTCTCATTTTTGGGATGGCTGAAGCGAAACGAACGAGAACCACATGTCTGCGGGTACTCGAAACCAAAAACTCTTAGGGGGGGTGCCCTTGTTTGAGAAAAACCGCATGTCTTGCCACAACATCGCACGAGCCTTGACCGTCACATGTTTATAGTCGATGCGTACCATCATGCCGCCTTGCTGGATCTCAGTAGGAAATCTCACTCGCTAAGTTCCTGGACTTTATCCGTTTTGGAAAGACGACGTCAGCAAACACAAAGTTGATGTCCAAAACCCGTTGTGATTCCCTACATGCCGGACCAGCAGAATTGTTGAACGCAGGCCCTCGCCACTTACAGTCGGCGAAACGTAGATGCCAATTCTCCCATTCTGGCTTTAGCCAGCCCCTTTCTCCCAAAGCATGGAAAGCATGTGCCATCTACTTTCACCCTACCTGCTCACTGGCCTCCTATTCGTTGGTTCAGGTTTGTAGTCCTTTCGAAATCTGGTTGTGAAAATGAAACGGTAGAGTTCCTGGTGCCAAACTTGTCCCAATGTGGCCGAAGCACATCCGTCCAACTGGGGTTTTGTCCAGCTTCGAACGGGAGCAGAGGATCGATTTGCCGGGTTGGGATTCACAAAACAGGTGGCTCAAACCAAAGCGTTCTTGACCCCCCCCGCCCCCCCGCCCCCGTGGCTTTTTTAGGGAGACCGACCAGACGTTTCTGGGGTGCAAAAAACTGATAGCACTATCCTTTTGCAAGGCCACAGCCATCCTGCCCCATTGGACGGCAACTATGTAAAACTGCCCATGGCCAAACATCCGAATGTTTGTTTCACACCCGGGCTCACGTTTTCAGGGCCCCAGGGCTTAGGACACATTTCTTTTCTCTTGTCCTCCTCACAAAAGGCACCCCGACGCCTCCGACCTCCGAGGCTTTGCCGCGCACGGCGCGGGCACGAGTGGGGGCTTCTTCGAGCCCTCTGGAAGCTCCGACTGCGCCATCTGCGCCCCGACCAGCTGAGGGGGCGTTGTTCACTTCGGGTTTGGCTTCTTGGGGTCTGCCAAAGGTCGTACAAATTTGTGGTTCTCAAGAGTCTGTTTGGAGGATGTGCCTGTTAAAAGTTTTTTTTGGCTTGAGGTAAGCGCTCAGGTGTTGTTTTTGTATGGTTGTTTTCGCTGCTGGTCAAGCCAAGAAGTGGGTGCTTGGAAAAGGTTGTATACATAGCTATGTGATGTATCCCCTTGAAAAATGGTTTCACGCATCGGCAGGTGTAGGCTTTTGTCGGCTCAACCATGTTCCAAAGCCTGAAGCGGCCGCTCCTGACATGTAATTATATACATACTTATATTTAGATGGATAGACACATTCAGTGTTTGTACACCGGTTGTGATGTTTAAATACAGGTGCACAGTGTACGACAACCCACCTAACTGTTAACTGGTGCAGGATGTGGGCCACGGGCGGGCCCAACACCCCCCCCGATCAAGTGTCTTGAATGCGGGGGTTCGTGATCTTCTTTCAGGACGCAAGGGAGAGGACTCCTGTATAAGGGAGCCAAGGCATGCCGCATAGAGCTGCAAGAGACAATGGGCATCATGATGCATCCCTGAACGGCCCCGAGCCCCCTCGAAGAGACCGACCTCCTCTTTGAGGAAGCCAAGGTATCGACCAAAACAACCTCGTGTTGTGAGAGCCTGATCTCGAATAGGGGAGGCCAAAAACGCCCGATTTATACGTGTCTTGGGCATTGTTTGATTGGTATCTGATGCTAGGAATGAAACGCAAAGGAACACCAACAACAACAAACAACACCTTCAGCCAAAACATAGGCATGCATGTGCATGCATTTATAGTTGCATACATAATCAAATACAATAGGAATATGGATGTTATGTGTGTATATATATCGACGAATGATGCATGTATATATATATATATATATATGTAGAAACATATACATACATATAGACCTCTACACTCCCATTCTTCATAGGGCTTTTCTTGCTGCGATGGGCAGGGAATGAGAAATGGAATGCCCCCTTCTGAACCATCCAACTGGCCTACGGGGGCACCTGGGTTCACTCCTGGCGAGCCTAGGCCTCAGCTCACTGGGGGAGCAGACCTGGATCCGCGGCGCGCCCCTGCAAACCAGGCCAGGGCATTTGTCGCATCGCGCGCCCCACTCGGCCCAGGTTTCATTTGCTGAAGAATAGGTTTGATGCTTGTCCCTAGTTGGCGTTGAAGGAAATTTAGCACTACTGGACATATTTTTTCTCCGGGGGCTTAAGCAAATGGAAGGTAGGTATGCGTGGAGAGAGAAAGAGAGAGAGAGAGAGAGAGCGAGAGCGACAGAGAAACCGAAGAAGACAAAAGAGACAGAGAGAGAGAGAGAGAGTGAGTGAGTGAGTGAGTGAGTGAGTGAGTGAGTGAGTGAGTGAGTGAGTGAGTGAGTGAGAGAGAGAGAGAGAGACAGAGAGAAAGACAGAGAGAAAGAGAGTGATTGAGTGAGTGAGTGAGTGAGTGAGTGAGTGAGTGAGTGAGTGAGTGAGTGAGTGAGTGAGTGAGTGAGTGAGTGAGTGAGTGAGTGAGTGAGTGAGTGAGAGAGAGAGGGAGAGAGAGAGAGAGAGAGAGAGAGAGGGGGGGGAGTACTTTCTCACAGAGGGGCCGTCGTTAGGCTCAGTTTGGAAAATACAAATCTACGAATATGTTTTGAGGTTCTGCAAGCATGGGAGTCACGTTTCCAAAGCCGGAGAAAGCTAAAGCTTGTGACAAGCTCGCAAACCAATTTGTTCAGACCCCATTTGGGCATCTCCTTCCAGGGGAGTGAATCCTGGGTTTTGGACCAATTTGGGGGCTCATTTGTGTGACTGAAGTTGTCCACAAGGAGCCCCACTGAGGGCGCGTTCTACCTTGCAAATCTGGCCTGTAGGTTCATTCATTGACGACCATTTTCAGTCAGTCCCATCAGTTGTTCAAAGCCGACCTTTTGACCTTTTGGTTTTCCCATATTTAGTCATGGCCCCAAAAGGTTTGTTTTTGCTTACTTCCAGGTCCTTTGGGCGACTGAGCATTTCCAGATCCTTTGGGCAACGTAGTTCGGTATGCGGAGATGGATTTCACAGCCGGTGAGGACCATGTTTTTCTATTCACCTGTTTCTGCTGGCTGTGAAATCCATTCCTTGCCGATGGAACGCTCTTTGATGCTGTACACGCCGCGGGTCTCTCAAGCCATGCGCCCACAGAAATCCAAGCTTAGCACACCCCTGCAACGCAATTGCCTGCTAGGATGGGCACTCACACAAGCAAACGCACACACACAAACCACTCCACAGACATACCCACATACCCGCACACACACACACACACACCAGTCCGAAGCCAGCACTTTCCCTTGTACAGAGCAGGGGCTGTCCATCACGCATTGTTTTACCTTTCAGTGGCAACGTCATCAGTTGCAAGGTTTACTTTTGATTTAGGGGAGTTCACCGACTAGCCAAAGCAGCTCATATGCCTTGGCTCCCTTCAGTAGTTTCAACCCACCTGAATCTTGGTGAACCCACGTGGTAAGAAACTGGGGTCCACTCTGAGGAGCACCATTAGTTTCAACCCAACTGAACCCAAGTGAGTCACAATCAAAACCCGTGTAAGTGAAGGTTAGTAAGGGACGATCCCAACCATAAGTAGCTGCGGCCGCGTTCTTAATTCTTGAAGCATGGTTCTGGCTCGACCATTTCAATACCGGGTTTTGATTATGGTTCAAGTGGTAAGGGAACGTAGTAAGGGACTGGGGTCCACTCTATTGAGCCTTCACCAGCTTCAACCCAGCTGAACCCAAGTGGTAAGGGACCGGGCACCACTCACTCACACTAACTCTCACTCACTGACACTCACTCACACTCACTCACTCACTCACTCACTCACTCACTCACTCACGACTCCGCGCCGCCGCCGCCATGCACGGCTACGGCGGCCGGGAGCTGCTAAAGGCAGCCTTCGCACCGGTGGCGGGTGACTCTGCGGAGGTCTTCAGCGAGTCGGCGAAGCAGTGGCTGCCGGCCACGGTGGTGGCCTGTGATGGCCAGGCCACCCGGCGACTTCTGCGACCTCTGCTTGACTGCTATTGGGTTGGATCTGTAGACTTTAACGTTTCTGGAAATCAAGGGGTTTTCCACTAAACCCCCAAGTCTGGGAACCACTCCCTGGGGTCCTGGACTTGAAGGTTCCTAGCGAATCGCCCGGTTCCTTAGGTTGTTACAACCCAAATAAAATTTGCAGCAGGGGATCTGAGGACAGCTCAGCATGGACTGCAAGCTGCTTGGGAAGACCAATTTGAGTGGTAAATATATAAAATACACTATTTTTGCCTGCCCACTGAAGGAATGGGAAGTGAGTATTGGATGGCATCTTCCACCTTTCATTTTGGTGCAAATGAACATGTTCCCAAAAACGCAAAAAGTCAATCTTTGTAACTGACAATAGCCGTCAAGGTGGGGTTCTTCTCCGAAAGGTATGCTTTAACAAGTATGGCCAGGGCGTCCTACATGTGTGTGTTCCCTGCGCCATAGTTGTGTTTGTGGCATTTGGCAGGCTCGTTTGATGGACGCCCCTTGAGCAGGCTGAGGTTGCACCATTGACATGCTGGAGACCTACTGTGGGTGGACCAGGTAAGAAACCCTGGCATGATTCCCCCTGTAAATCCCAACAAATTTCCATGGCTGCAAAGTGATGCAGGACCTCGTTTATCCACAGTGTACCTTCAGAGGTTGATTGATTCAGAGGTGATTGTGGCCCCCTATGCGCTCGCCCTATTCGTTGTTGTGTTGCCGATGTTTAAGGGAAGCTATATGCGTGTTTGTTCTTTCCAGGGCGGTGCCCTTTTCAAGCTAGTTGTTTGATCGGACGCGGTCCGCGAATTTGAGACAGACCCAGCTTTCGATTGGTTTCTGGACACCTTCAACTCCCTCACTAAACATGGTCCTGGCCCACGCAAAAGCCTATGGCGCGCCTTTTTGAGCAACTTGTGCACTTGAAGCACGGGCAGGTGTTTTGATTAGGGCAGGGTTCGCGCTCGGGTCATCTTGTTGACAAGCAAGGCAGGCTGCTTCGGGCAGGTTTGTTTTCTTGATTGGGACTAACTTAGGTGCTGGCTATGGCGGGACCATCCTGCCAAGGTGTTCCCTTTTGTCTGCGTCATCCTTGGAGCACCCACACCTTTTGTTGCATGGCCCTATTGGGAGACCCGGTTTCGCTTTATTTCAGTCGTTGGCCCTGGCTCCAAGAGGAAGCCACTACCGCATTTGGGGAAAGCGACCTTGGCCGTTTTCGTACTTCCTCCCCAAGCGTCAGGTGGTGACGGTGGCCTATGCCCGCAACGGCGACTCGGTGCACAAGGCTCTGCCGTTGGGCCACCCCTCGCTGCGACTTTCCGCGGCCAGCTCAGCGGCGCCGGCCGCGCCCGCCGCGCCGGCGAAGCCGGCGCGCCGGGTATGCCGGCAGGGCGTGAAGTGCAAGGCAGGGGAGCGCCAATTGAGGAATCTTTGGTGCATTTTGCTTGGATGTTCGAACTTCAGCTTTTTTGCCAACTGGTGGGTTTTCCATTAAACCACCAAAAGTTAAACTTTCAGCAGGGGAGCAGAAAGCAACCGAGGAAGTGTGAAAGCAAGGCTTTTTTGCGGGAATGAAGGCATCACACAAGTGCTCCGCGAGGAGGGACTGTATGAGTTGTCATGCCCTCCCTGGTGGTCAAATATGGCTGTGGGTCAACAATGGGTGCCCTTGTAAATGGAGCCAAGGACTAAAACCTGCGGTCCCCTGGCGGTTGAATTTTGATCCATACCCATATGTCAAATCATACTGTAGCACGCACTGTATTCTTCTTGGCTGCCCGCAGGCTGCTTTCTCAGATTTGCTTCAGCCCACGCTGGCGGTAGAACAAGGTACCTTGGGTTACGCAAGGGGTTTCCTTTGTAGTGGCTACCCTATAGGGATTATGGATTAGGATTGGCCAAGCCTCCATTTTACACAGCCCAGACTGTCTGCTTCCCAGCCCGCCCCAACATGTTCGGAAGGCATGGCGTGTGTCCACAGGCCTTTGTTCTCGTCACAACCCTGAGAGAGCACAAGCTCCTGTGAGCTCACCTGAGAACATGTCAATGATCTCAAGCCCGTTGCGCTAGTCCCTCCAACCAACATGATTGACATTTTCTGATGGATTTGGGTGCGTCTTCAAAAAGGGTAACCCCAAAATAGTGGATTTTGTGGATTTTGGGGTGCCCTCAGGAAGCACATTCATTTGGCAGGAACGGGGGGAGCACCTGAAGACCATGGCGCACCCCTTCGATCCGGACTACCAGCGCAGCTGCGCCCGCGAGGAAGGAACCGGAACAGTTCCCGACTTCCGGCCTTGAGTTCGGCCATTTGTCAACTTGCGAATTGCAGGTTCCTGGCATCTTTTCTCTGGGAGGCTACCTTTTTTGGGTTGCATTTCAAGGCAAGCCCGCCGGAAAACCGATGCCTCCTTGGGCTGTGGCGCCCCCTATCTTTTTGGAAGACCACCCCAGGTCTTTCGCCCTTCCCCCCTTCCAACCCCCCGGAGAGAAAAAAGAAAAAAAAGGCGGGGCGGGCCGGGTGAATTCCCCTCGGTTCCTACCGCAGGGCCTGGCAGCAGAGCCGGCGACGCTGCACGGGCTCTTCGCCTGGATGGACACCGACGGCTCGGGGAAGATCTCGCGGAAGGACGATCCGATCCGCGCGAGCCGCTCGCCGCGAGCCCATCCGGAAGGAAGGAAGGGATGGAACCCGCAACTCAGTGGAGCCACAATCAAATCCCGGGTAGGTGAAGGTTAGTAAGGGCGGTAAGGGGCAGTCCCAGCCGGAAATAGTTGCGGCCGCCTTTCTAATTCTTTACATGGTTCTGGGTTCACCATTTTTGTACCAGGTTTTGATTGTGACTCAGTGGAGGAGTCTCTCTCTTTTTTTTTGGCCTGGAGGGGGGGAAGGACTTCCCTTTTTTGGGTTCCAGGTTGGCTGCAGGGGAGGAGGGGGGTGAGGGGAGCAAGGGTAAAATGCGGAGGTCCTTTTCCTGTTTCGTGCCCCCCCACATGAGTAAGTTGACCGTGTTAGTCCGTACGAAGTTGAACACCCCCCACTCAAGCTGCTGTTGTGTTTATTCTTACTTTGCTTATCCAAAAGACCTGAGGATCCAACCCTCCCCAAACGTCACTGCTGTGGACGGAAGATATCCATTTCGCCCCACTTGGAAACTATGGTTGAAGCCATAACGTTGGTTGATAAACGTTTTTCAGGGAACGCCATGGTTGAAACCAAAACGTTGGTTGGTTTATGCTTTGGGGAATCGAATCATCAACCCGGGTTTCTAAGCGGTGGTAAGTGAATTTGATTTGCGCAACCATCCACAGTACTAAGCTCCTGTTTGTTCTTGGGCTTGTTTACCCGGGTTTGTCTGAAGGTAAGTGGATTTCGCAACCATCCACAGCACCAAGCTCCTGATTACTGTGTTCATATTGCTGATTTTATCTTCCATTTGGTTAAGACTATGTGTTTATCATCCCTGTTGGTTTTAAATGTAGTCTATCACTGCTGGAAATATGTTTAAACAAATCCAGGGGACGAAAAAGCAAATGGAGGTTATACTGCTCCAAAAGACCCGTGGATCCAGATGGATCCACTGGCACCCCTCCCCAACGAACGCGCTGGAACGCGGCGCGAGGAGTTGGAGAGCGCCCTGCCGTTGTTGGAGCAGCTCCAAGGTGAACGCCTCACGTTGACGGAGGAGTCCTGGGAGGCCTTGGACGAGGATCGGTGTCGTCGGGTGCTTCTTTTGGGGGCCCGGGGCGGATCTACGTGCGGCTTCCAGGGCTTCAAGTCCTCCAACCAAGCCGAAACACCAACGAGTCCTCAGTTGTTCAGTGGCACCCTTTTTCTTTTTCCCTTTGTTTTTTGGTGGCTGCCCCACTAAAGTGGTCTTCCCAAAAAAGGGTGCCCTTTTTTTCCAGGGTCACTGAACAACTGAGATTCGGGGTCCCTGATACTTGCAATGGTTGCAGAGATGGCGCAACCACCTCACAACTACTGCCGCGGAAACGGGGACTCTTGATATCATGGCCCTCCCCCTCCCTCTTGCAACATATATTTCTGTTTGGGTGGGAATGGATAGGTTGCAGATACCATTAAGAATCCGGGGATAGCCTGAGTACAGGAATCGCATTTTCCAGTCAACTGACATAAGATGTGCATGCACGTCCTTGCAATACCAGCACCGCGGATGCAAGGAGAAGGCAGCAAGCTGCTTCTTATTTGATGCACAGCGGCTGGGCAGTGCGTGTTTTAGGAAACTTGAGGCCCTGTTGGCTCCTCCAAACGTGATGAACCCCCACCAAAAGAGGGCACTCCGGGATTTATGAATCCGTTTTTTTAGTTGATTCTTCAATGGCTTTGTTTTTCTTGGAACATGTGACATTTCCGGGTGGCAGAGCCGGCGCCCACTGCACACATCCCTCCTACAAAAGGCGCGAGTTTGGCACCATGATTTTGTTCCTGTGGGGTTCAACTTGCTTTTACGGCCCTCCGGCTTTCCACAAAATACACACACATATATATATATACATATATATATACATATGTATATATATATAAACATATGTATATATATATATTCACAGACATATATATATATATACATGCTATCCCCAGGCTTCATCAGTCTTCAGATGGATTGATTACATGTACCGCGAAACATTTTTTCATCGCGAAAATACCCTAACTATTAGCGCCCGTGGCCTGTTTGTGATTTTCAATCACCGGGCGAACCCCCCACAAGCCCCGCATGGGCTGAAGAGGACGGCAACGGCGCCGTGAACTTCATGGAGTTCGCGCAGTGGGCGGGGCCTCGTTTAGGCCGGGGCCGGCAAGCCCGGACGGGACCCAATGAAACACGTGGGTGTGAACTGTGACGGGGTTAACCCTATTTGTTTGTTTGCTTGTTTTTTTGTTTTTTTTTTGTGTTTGTTTGCTTGTTTGCTTGTTTGCTTGTTTGTTTGATTGTTTGCGTAAGGGAAGCCATTGAAAGGAAGCCACCCCAAAACTGGGGGGTTCTAAATTTTGAGACACACCCTCACTTCGAAGTTCCCGGACTTGCGGTGTATGCTTTGATCCCATCTTGCAAGTAAACCACGCTAAACCATTTACCAACAGAAAACAGGGGGGTCGTTTTGCCACCTGTGAGAAAATTGGCGACCCCCTTAAAAAGGAATCCTTCACTACCAGGGGGTCGAGCAATTTTCCACAAGGTGGCAAAAAGACCCCCCTGTTTACCAAATCAAACAGGGTTTCCTTGTTCCCGTGCAACATGCGCACGGCATCCACCGTATCTGTGTGGACTTTGCTTGGCCACTCAAGAAGTGAGACAGGGCGTCCACATCCATTGAGAGGGACCCTGTTTTCATACTGTCCATGGTTTTCCTTCAGGCAAACGGAAACAAGGTGAACATCGGACCACGAGTTTCAGTTGGGGATACGATTCCCCAAATGCCGCCAGGCAAGGAAACGGCCTGAGGTGTACCTTGGTTTTTGGCTCTTTTGCTTGCAACATTTTGGGAACTCACCGGATGGAGGGCTTACGGTTCAGATTTGCACCGGCTCTTTGCGTTTGCGTTAGTTTGTGTTTGTTTCTGCTTTTGCTTTAGCCTTTCCTTGCGTGTTTGCCTTTACCTTGGCGTTGTGTTTGCATTGTCTTGCCGTTTGCGGTTGCATTTGTCTCGGCGTTTGCTTTTGCCGTTGCTTTTTCCGTTGCTTTTGCTTTCTGCTTGCTGCGTTGCTTTCGCTTTTGCCTTTGCTGGCGGTTTGTCCTTTGATGTGATTGTTTCTTGCTTTGTGCTTGCTTTTGCTGTTGTTGTTCTGTTCCGTGTGATAACGCTTTCGTGTGTACTTTGCTTTTGCTTTTGCCTTTTACGTGGCATTGCTTTTCCGCTGCCTTTGCTTGCGTAGGGTTGTTTAAGCTCTCCTCCGGCCAGACATCGCTTTGTTCATCAAGGGGTCGATGAGATGACCCCGGTATCTCATGAGCACCAAAGGCCGAAGACCGGTAAAACCGGTTCCTCAGGTCCGAGTCGCCGAGGTCTGCCCTTGGGCATCGGCCATCTCTTCGAGGCGGCCTGTGGCATCTTGGGCTGCCCCTGCCAGGGCTTCAAGGCGGGGCCGACGCCGGCCATCGCACGAAAAGTTGGGAAGTTCGGCCCCCCCTCCGATTTTTGTTAGGTTGTTTTTTGTTGTTTGTTGATGTGTGTGTGTGTGTGTTTTTGTTTGGTGTGTGTTTTTGTTCTTCTTCTCTTTTTAAGAGGCAAGCCCAACCAACCGGAAATGAAGCTCTGGCACATGACGGGATTTCCTGGATTTTCTTTGGGGCATCAACCGTTATTTTGAGCCAGGACTGAAAAGAACGTGGTCCAATGGTTGTGTTTAGTTTGGGGTGAGCCTTTTGAGAAGGGGTCCTTCCTTTCTTCAACAGCAGTTGTCTTCTTCTTTGGGGGAGGGGGGGACATCCAGCAGGGCAGGCAGCCCTCATTTCGCAGCACAGGCAACTATGGGAATGCCATGTCAGTGCCTCATTATCCTCATTCACGCTCAAAATGTGTGTGTGTGGCGTGGTGTGGTGTGGCGTGGCGTCGCGGGGCGGGGCGGGGCGGGGATTGCGCGCGGACGAGCGGACCTGTCGTGTGTTCGGGCCATGCAGAAATAAACAGGGAGGGGAGCGCAAACATTTTGTTGTATGGCGCTCGCTGGCAATGCACATTCCCCTTGGCCATCAGTGGTTTTTGGCTTTCTGGAAACAAACGGTCAACCAAAGTGCCCTCCAACTGGCATGGAGCCCCTTCAAAAAGCAAAGAAACCAGCAAGAGTTGCAGGGAATCCTCAAAGCGGCTGGTATTTGGGTCCGAGCGGCCCCTACCACATCATTTAGGGGATACGGCTCAGTATTTGGAAACCCTGCAACTTGGACTTGGACCGGTTCAATAAGCCTGACTGTCAGATTAGTTGCCATGGGCTCTGTGTTTGGTTGTTGGATCGCGTCTCTTGCTTTTGTTATTGGTTTATTTGCTTATGTGTTTGCTCATTTGTTCATTTGTCAGTTTGTTCGTTGTTTCTTTGTTTCTTTGTTTCTTTGTTGCTTTGCTTCTCTCATGGCTCGGCTTGCTAGTTCCCTTGCTTTCTCGTTTGCTTCAACCAGGGTGGCTTCGAACGGCGGGGCTCGGGCAAGCGCCAGGGATTGCAGATAGCACCGCTCCAATTTCATTTCACCCGAGCGAAGCTGCGGCCTGCTGTTTGGATTAGGTCCACTTTGGCGTGGTGGACCTCAGGGACGTCTTCGGGGAGCTGCTCGGCAGGGGTTTTGGGCCGGAAGCTCTAGGCTTCATCTTTGCACCGAAATCTCATTAGCACCGCACAAGTACAGAGGATCAGGGTGTCACTTTGGGCCACGTAGATCGCTTTAAGTTTTAGCAAGGAGGCCTCACATCCTTGGTTGGTGGTTTGAAATGGATGTCTGAGTTGGGTTTGGATTGGTCGGTTTCTGATGAAACTGTTGGTTTTAGATGGGAGTGGTCATGGCTGGCGGCTAGATCATGTTAGAGCTCAGGTTGTCCTTGATTCGTGGCTTGGATCGGTCGTTGGGTGGTTGAACCCCCCAGTTGCTGTTGAGACCCAATGGGACGACAACCCCACAACCTCCAAAGTTATCTATCCACAATACCCAAGGGGAGAAAGGTAGAGGCTTGATGTTTGGCGTTGAGATGGAGTTCTTGCTGTGGAATCGGTTGCTTTGGCTGTTGCGGCTTCCGTGCCGGCTTGCACAGGATGCAACCACAACCCGTAGAATAATTAATCCACTCATGGATGCAGTCGTGCCACTGTTTCTGGTTCGAACTCTTCGTGTCAACCATTTGCAAGATTCAAGGTCTGTTGCATGCTCCAGAAAAGTGCGGCTTTGTATCATTTGATAAGACCAGCCGCAATCTCCAGTGGCCAGAGGGTATTGACGACCTAAATCTGGCAATTAGGCCAATAAAATTGCATCTTGGTGTTCTTTGTGTGCACCGGGAAGACATCTGGGTGAAAATAGAGGCACGTGCCCCCTATGCAAGTTATATCATTCCGTTGCCCACTTAAATGAATCCGTGCCGCCCACTTTCACACAAGTCGGAAGTGTATGTTGGTGTTTCCTAAGCCGACGCGGCAAGGACGCCAATCACATGTGGTGGCACAATTTCAGGCAACACTGTTGTGGGTTGGCGTTTTCTGGCGCGAAAGACCCTTGATTCGAGCATTCATGGGCGAACACACGTTTTCGATGCCTGAGCTTGCCCGACATCGGTCCAAGAGGGGTCAGCTTCGGGCGCAAGCTGCGGCTGGGGAGAAGCTTCCAGCGCAGGAAGAAGAAAAAGAAGGACAAGAAGCACAAGAAGGCCGGCTGGCCGCAGGAACGTCTACTAGGTCCCGCAGTAGTGCCCTTTTACCCTTCTTTGGGTTTTTGGGTTCCCCTACTAAAATAGACTACAGAAAAAAGTTGGTACCCTTATTCTTACCTCTCTACTGGACGACCTAGTCTATACTCGCAGCATAAGATTGAATCTTTCGGCATGGCCTTTGGCTTCGGTGGTTGCCAGTGCTCACGGGTTGTGTGTGTGTGTGTGTGAATGCGCTTCCCAGACAAGTTCAGCGGGTGTGTAGCCATGTTTTGTTGCATGTGTTCAATTGACAGTGACTCGTTGACGTGATGTTTTGCGACCTTTTTTGTTACTTGCCTTCACGGTATGGACAGGACAAACAGTGCATGCGTCAGCAGCTTAGCATGGGTGGGGCGTGGCTTGTGCAATTGACGCGCGCGGGCTGTGCTCTGGGAACGCCTTGTAAGATCCCCGTGGCCTGTCGAAGATTTGCATTTTCCCTTGGATGCCTGGAAACCATTTCCAGGTGTCATTTGTGGAGTCCAGCGGCCCAACGGCCCCTCAGGAGAAAAAGCACAAGCACGGCTTGGACTGGCACGAGACCATGTGCAAAGAGGCATCTCACCGCTCCTTGTTCAAACATGAGGTCCCCCCGGTTTTGCAGACGCTTGCTAAGAACCCCTGCTAAAAAAAACACACACAAAACACTTTCTCTTTTTTTTTGGTGGGGGCTTGCAACAGGGTGAGCAAAGGTGATCTGTTGAAAGGGACCAGGCACCCCTTTGACCGAGTCTTTCTCTTGAGGCTTCGCAGATCGTCTGCAGACCTGCGAGTGCGGGCACAAGCAGATGGTGCACCGTCTGGGCTCCAGGGGGGTGGTCCCCTTCCCCGTGCATTGGATGGCGCCAGGCGGGCCAACCCGGGCTGCCCTTGCTGGGGCTCCACGTGAAACTTTGACCGGGGAGCTTCAGATACGAGCGGCTTTCGAGATTGCAAGTCAATGCGTGTATCTGATTTCGAACCATGTGCTTGAACCCAGACGAATCAAACAACCAAATAGTGGTTGCTTGGGTCGAGAAAGGAACACCCGACGTGGGGAACACCCCACCCAAGATGGGAAAGAACATGCTCGAGAACCTCTAGTCTGGTTCTATGTTGAGGAACTTCCACGTTAGGAGGGCGCCATTTTCGGGCAGACCTTTGCTATGTGACAGGTGTCCAGTGTTCGCGTGAGCGCCCGCTTGTCGGCCACATCCAGATGTGGTGTGCCTGATGGAGGCAGAGAGACAGGCAACGATGGATATTAATGAATACACGGAGCTCGCTCACAGATGGTAGACATAGACCCAATCCCCGGGCCTCCAGTGGTGCCCTTTTTTCTTGGAGAGAGCTTCCTCCTTTTTAAAGGAGCAACGTGCCCTTTCTTCCTGGCATTGCCACTGTGTGTTTGATATCCGCCACAGGGTCCCTCTTCGATCTGTGCCAGGCCGCGGACCAGACTTCTTTGAGAGTGTTCCCTTGGCGGAGGATCACCTGAAGTTGCTCCAGCGCTTGATGGACAGTACCTTGGCCAGTTGGCAACTCGTATCCCTCATGGAACCCTGAGCTGCCCATATGCTAAAATTGGGCCAAACATTGCGACACAAGCACCTCAGCATGCTGGCTTGTGCGCATGCGAAGGGGCATTCACATCATTGACGGGCAGCACGCCGGGGGGTTGACAATTTGCCACTCCCGAAAAGGCCACCTACGGATACAACGGCTGTCTGCGGGATGCTGCGGGAAGAATTGCAGCGCCTTAGCAACACTGCTCATCTCAGAACAACAATCAGGCTTTATCTTTTTGGGCAGATGAAAGCAGTGTTCCCACTAAATGGCAAAAGCAGATCTTTTTGCATGCTGGGAATGGGGCCATGTGATAGGGTGCGGGTGGTTTTTCTTTTGAAGAAGCAACACAACATTTCCAGAGCCTTTTCTAACGCTCAGGTACCTACAGCAACATCTGGACCCGGGACAGGAAGAAGCATCATCCAGACACTTGGCGCGGGTTCTCCTTTTTGGTCGGATGCGAGATAGGCAATGAGGTCACATATGTGAACTTGCCCGTGTGGCCTTTGGCGACCTCACGCGCTTCGCCTGGGATCCCTCAGATCAGCCCCCGTGATACGTCTGCGCCCGCGCGATGTGATGTGTGTGCCAGCAGGAGTGGCACCAGCCCCCCCACCCCCCCCGCCCCACGCCAATTTCCAGATATGCCCAGCTTTGTGTCGGCCGAAGGGCCAGGGACATGGGACCGCCGCCAGCTTGGGCCAAAGGGCCCGTTCTTCTACTTCGCTCTTTTCGGGAAGAAAAACATGTGGTTCCTTAGTTCACTTTGGTTGCAGCGAAAAACTGCAGGCCTGGAGGCTTTCGGGGCCATGTGTGTCTTGCTTGGGTTGGTTGAAAGGGTTTGCTTGAGCCTCACTGTCAAGAGGATATTTGGCATGCTGAGGGGCTAGCGAGGCCTGAATCCTTTATTTCAGCTTGGCTTAGCTCTGGAATTTTCAGATGACAAGCTGCGCGACTTGTAGCCAGTTTTTCAGCCTACGTTCTCCCAAGCGCATGCCTCTGGGTTGCACCACGGGCTGAGGACAATCCCAATGTGCCGAGGGGCTTCAAAGTGCGGAGGGCCTTCCGCTTCGAGAATAGCAGGCCGGAGCTGTAGATCGAACACAGTGATGGGAGGGCTACAAGACAGGTACAAGACCATGACGTCAACATTTGCGCATCCCATTAATCCTGTTTGGCTGTTAGTGCCAAAGTCTGGTTGCATACTCCGCGAGATCTGGTATGCCCATTTCGTAGGAGCCCACACGCAAGGGGCTCAGCATCCGTGAGTGAGGCAGCATTGACAATTGTATCCTTGCAGTGGGCATGCAATCCTGCGTACCTTAGCAAACAAGCAAGCAAGACGGTTTGTAAGCAGAATGTCAGACCGGTTGAAACTACATTGGCTCAAGCTCAAAAAGTGAACAAGGCGTTGTCCTGATTCACGGCAATTCGAAGTTCATTTCTTCTCTTCGCGGCATGACTGTGCTGAAGGCCACCCTGGGTTCCGACATCCGCCGGTGCCTAGTGGAGGACCTGAGCTACCCTGGGGTTTGCAGCTGCCTGGAGCGCCTCTTCCCAGATCTGGGGGCCTACACGGCGAAATACCGGGATGATGAAGGAGATGCTTGTGTGCTCTGCGACAGCTCCTTCGGTGACTTCCTTGCTCAGGCGAAGCAGGCTGCAGACCTCTCTGTCGCTACTGGGCGCTTGACTCTGCGCCTGGAGTTGTTGCCCGCAGACACGGAGAATAGAGACATGCCACCGCAGCCTGAGAGTGAAGCAACAGACGCCTGGAGAATGTTCGTGCCGCCCTTCCTGCATCCCCTGTTGCAGGCGCTGCACAAGGGCAAGGGCAAGGGCAAGGGCAAGGGCAAGGGCATGCGCGGCCAGGACAGGCGCGGATGTGGCAAGGACGGTGAGACTGGCCAGCCTTCTTCACATCCCAAGATCTCGGAGGTGCTGACACCGCAGGCGCTCGCAAGCATGGCGGTGTGCTGGCTGCCTCGTGCGCTGCAGTTTGCGGCAGAGCGGGAGCCGGAGGAGCTGGGGCGAGCCCTCACTTCCATTGAGCCTCTCAAAGAGATCTTGGAGCAGATTCGGCCCTTGCTGGCGACGAATGGCTTGCAGCATGTGGAGGCATCCCTGGATTTCTGCCTGTCAGAGATGACGCCTGCCTCGGCAGGGAGGTTCCTCCTGGACTTGCTTGCCGGTGTTGACCTGCTGCACTTCGAGGCGCAGCACGCGTTTGTGTCGGCCCTGGCCGAGACCCAACAAGAGCGCCTGGCGTCCTACCTGGATAGCTTGGACTTCCCGCTAGAGCACAGGGGCGTCACATGTGACGGCTGCCACTCGCCAGTGGTTGGTCCGCGGTTCAAGTGCAAGAGCTGCGCGGACTACGACCTTTGCGGCGTATGCTATGCCAAGAAGGGTGCATTGCACAGCGGGTCCTGCTCCGGCCATGAGTTCAAGTGTTCTCTCTTGGACTCGCGGCGTGCCTTCAAGCACCTTGTTGGCCTTCCCTTGTTTCAGCTGCTGAAGGGCATGGGCAAGGGCTGCCAAGACAAGGGCTGGGGCTGGCAGGGCAAGGGCTGTCAAGGCAAGGGTTGGCGTGGCTGGCAGCGCAACTGGCAGGACTGGTGCAACTCGCATAGATCCCAGTGCCCTGAATGGCATGTCCAGAGCACTATCAAGACTGAGGGGACGACCTGTGCCAGCCCAGGCTGTTCCTACCTCAAAACCTGGCACCCCAGCCACTGCTGCCACGCCTGCTCTGCCGGCCAAGGGCACGGCCCCCACTGCGAGCGCAGCGAGCGTGTGCTTCGGCCCTGCGCAACCTCGGGATGCGAGTTCCAAGCTACGTGGCACGAGACGCATTGCCATTCCTGTGCGGGCAAGGCCCACGGCGCGGCTTGCGAGAGACGCCCCAACGGCCATACGACCGGCACGGTTGAACATGATGCGGATATGGAGGCCGCGGAGCAAAGCTGAGGGCGGGCCCCACAGTGACCAATAGAATTTTGAAGGCGTATGCACAGCGCTAGCCTCTTGTTCTGATTTGGTGCTTGTCCAGTCAATTCCTTTGCTACAGAAAGCCTGACATGTGGCCGCCACGAGATTCTCACCACAGGATCTGATTAGAGCCCAAGGATTGTGTTCACAGCCTGGGGAAAACAATGGCAAGCTCAGTGCAAATGGGGGGAAGGCAGGGTGGCACAAAGTCGCGGGCTTGGAAAATGACTGGTTCCCTGAGTGGAGATTGTGAAATGCAGACCGTCGTTTTACATGTTGTCATGGATGGGAAGCGGTTGATTCTGGGAGCTGCACTATTCGTGTGTGTGCCAGATGAACCCGTGTTTGGAACACACATGGCATTTGGATCCAGCAGTGTCTTCGAGACTTTGCGGCTGACGAGTCTGCAAAATCCCGCGCCTCTGTTGTTGTCTAAGAGGCTTACCAGGTGCCGCATGAGACCATACAAAGGCCTTGACTCACTCAGCGAGTTGTTGGACTTTATACGTTTGGAACGACCATTCTGCTCTTTTTGGCGAATCCACTCAGGAAGTGAGCCTGGGCCACACTTGAGAGAGGACACTTGCAGGGGGACTTTCATGGCATGTGGTTTGCTAGACCCCCGGTTTGGTGGGGTTAGAGGGAAATGTGTATGAGACCAAGCTGGTGGTTTCTTCCCCTTCCACTTTGGCCTGCAGGGCTCCTTGCCTCTCTTGCAAATGTGCAGGTTGAGCGACGCCAGCTATTGGCTGTTTGTCAACCAGTGTTCAAACCGGGTTTAATCCATCCCAACTGGCGCCGATCGTGGCCTTGCCATCTTGCCATGTGCAAGGGTGGTTGGTTGCCAACAGGTTTTTGAGCGTTTTTACCTGTATAAAGTTCAGCCAACAAAAAGTAGGGGTCTGGGTCAGTCTGCGACATGGGTTACAATTCGCATCACCGAATTCCCGCCCCTGTAGGTCTTGGTCAGAGTACGGATACCGCCGGGCCGAGCTGATGGCGGATGCAAAGGACAAGGCCATCCAAAGCTATGACGTGCTCACTGCCAGGCGCTCTTTCTGGTGGGCCAATGGGTTACCACCAAAATCCCTTCAGGAAACCCTCAAGAGGTTTGGAACCTTGGTTCTTGAGGGTGCGGAACCACCCCTAACTTCCAGACCAATCCAAACCAACAATTGGAAGGTGTTTGGTGGGTTTGGCACCCACCTAGGATGAGGTCAAATCCAACTGTGGGTTTGGTGGTTTGCTCCTGTTCATTTTGGCAGGCTTTTGGGATGGCCCTGGCCCGAGAGGGACTTCCCTCTACTGTTGGGGTCGGTGCCGCTTTGTTTCGGGATCCCTTTGATTTCGCTTTGAAACATGTTCTCCATGGATCCGACGTTTATGCGGATGGCGGAGAACATGTTCATGCGTCAAACATCTTCAAAACGGGTGGTGCAAACGTGCAGCTGTGATACCGAGAGAAAGTTCGAAGTGAGAATCAAGTCATGGCAGCAAGAACCCCAATGCATCACAAAAGCCTTATTTAGGTGGTGTCTCCAACATAGGGAACTGAGCCAACCGGTTTTGGTTGGGTTTTCCTTCTGTTCCCCATTTCAAAGCACCTAAAGAAGAGTCACCAACTCCATCTTGCACTGAGGGAGTGGGCGTCCTACTCCCACGCCTTCGGGGTGGAGCAGTTGCAAGGGGCTTGCAACGAGTGGATGCTCTTCCACGGCACCTCGCCCGCTGCTGCGCTGGCCATCTCGAAGAACGACTTCAAAATCAGCCCCTGGGAAAACGGGAAAAACAAATGGGGGAGTAATTAGACGTTAGAGAGGCTGGGAGCTCCTCCAACACTTGCAAACCCTGAAAAGGATATGTTCCATGGTTGTTGTTGGGAAACATTTTACATCTTTGCTTATTGTGGTTTAGTGGGAAATTCCCACTGAACTGCAAGCAAATAAATGTTTGCTCCCCTTCCAACGTCAAGCAAGGTTCGGTGGTGTTGGTTAACTCGAGGTTATGTAAGCAAGGTATTGAAAGCAGCTGATCACCCTCAAGGCTGTTTGGTGATTTCCTTGGGCCGGATGCGCACATCAACCCAGGCTGAGGTATCTCGCAATTTGGGGGCTGCCCCACTAAAAATGGTTTTCCCCAAAAAGGGTTCCCTGTTTTGGTCCAGGGTCACTGAACTGAGACCAGCTTGGCTCACCAGCTTGGCGCCCCAAACAAACCTCCGACTCGGAGCCGACGCCTGAGGCCTGGCCGGAGGCAGCACCGGCACCCTGTACGGCCGCGGCACGTACCTCGCGGAGTCCGTCACCAAGGACTGGCTAAAAGTGGCACCAAGGAAGATTCTAGGGGTACCTTCCTTCCCCCATTCTTTCCGATCCGAATCTTTTCAGGAAACCATCGAAAACCCAGGGGAAACAGATCCGGTTTTTGAAAAGAACGATGGTTGAACATTATGAGAGAATCGGTTGCGCCATCTCCAACTTGCAGTGGGCACCTTTATCGTTGCCTTGCTGAGTCAAGACCCTCTGGACGGCAGAGAGAGAGAGAGAGATCTCGAACTTCCCCGTTCTTCCCAGGGATCCTTCTTTCCACACATCCAGCAAAGACCGGGGGAACAGACGATTCTGGAAAGAACGATGATCAACAAACAAATGGGGAATCAAACCGGAGAGAGCAGGATTCCCTCACCCAGCGCTTCCCTTCTTGGGTCGGGTACTCTCTATAAGACCTATTAAGACCTTGTTCCTGTAGAGGATAGATGGGGGAAACCAGTCCGCACAACACCGCCAAAGCACCAATCCAAAGCAACAGTTAAAGGGAAACAGTTGGGTGTTCGACCAAAGTTCTAGGGTCCCCAAAGGCAAACCAAAAGTGGGTTATTGAAAAACATGGAGTTTGCTCCATTTGCTTAAGAATGGTGGTTGTTTTCTTCCGTGGTTTTAAGGGAATCGATGACGACTGGAATATGTTGTTGTGTTAGCTCGAGGGGCCTTCAGCAAATGGATGTGTGCAACCATGGTCATAAGGGCACGAACCCGAGTTTCCCCAGGTATATCCCTGGCTTTCTTGGGTGTTGGATGTTCAGGTTATTGAAGTAGTGGCTGGACCCAAAGCCTGCTAGATGTCCTCTTGGCTTCCCGAATCACCAAATTATATCAGCTACATCGCTGGCCATAGCCTCACTATTTCCACATTGCCAGTCGAAACTGGGTACCCTTTCTTTTTCTGCGATATCAAAGGAACCCGCCTTTTTCTGGATAAAGTAGAGCGGGGCCCAATGCCGATGCCTTTTTGGGTATCATATAAATTAGGATTTTCCATCTCGTGTAGCCTTGAGGGTGGGGGGTACAGGGCATGACAGCCTAAGGGCACTCAGAGCCTGGTTCCGCCCCGCCCGGAAAGGCACCTGACGTGACCGGGAAGGGGGTCCCTTAAGGACCATGGTCACCAGGAGCCCCCGAAAACGTCAGGTTCCGTGTTAGTTGGTGGGAGGGTGTTTATTCAGGCACGGCGGCCCAAAAGACACGGGTGTTCTGGCTCGCCAGTGACCTTGGTTGGGAGTTCCTTAAGCATTTCTCGTGCGGCGTTTGGTACCTCAGGATGATAAAAGGTGTGGGTTTGTCTCAAAATAGGGTGGTTCCCCTTTAATACCAACCGAAATGGGACCCCTCCAGAAAGACACCCACATGGATCCCACAACTTCCGCATGTACACCTCACAACCAACCCATTGCTTTCCACGGCATACTTGCAAAAATGCAAACCTTTGGGTCAGGCTGACGAATATGCCAAGCCCGCGGGGAACGAATATGCCATGCTGCTGGTTCGATGCCTTGGTGGCCGCGTGCGGTACTGCGATGAGCTGGAGCCCGACGCAGAGGACTTAACCCAAGGCTGCATCGAGGCACGGCTTGGTTCTACGTCCATACCACGGATGCCCGAAATGGCTGTGGGTGAAAAAAAGGTTCCCAAAATGGAACCCTGGTAAATTGAAACAGGGACTAAAACCTGCGGTCCCCTAGTGGTTTAATTTTGACCTACACCCAAATGTTACAAGTCAGGAAGCAAGGACCATTGGACTTTCCCCTTCCCTATAATTTGCCCCTATCTTAGCCTGGTTTTATGGTTTTATGGTTGCATGTGTTTGTTTTGCTTTCAGTATTTGAGTCATCCGTGCCATTCCCTGGGGGAGCAGTATGGGTTCTTGTTAAGAGATGTTCAGAGACGCATACGCACGGCACGTCGCATGCAGCCTGTTAGGGCCCCTTCGACTGTGTCATGGGCGACCGCCAAAAGTGTCGTGGCACGTACCGGGAGTTCATTTTCTTTGACACCGAGAACCTCTACCCGGAGTACGTCATCATCTACGAGAGGATTTACTGAGCTGGTGAAAAATTGCGGCCAAAGAGCGTGCTGTGCCTGTTTTTCCTGTAATTGGACTGTGGGTCTGTCTCAAAACAGGGGGACCTTTTGGATGATTGAATGGATGTTAGAATAAACACCAACCACCTGCAGGGATACTGACAAGCACCCATGTGTGGGAGAAAGTTTTGCGACATCGGGCAGGTGCGGGCACTACTTCCACAGGATGTGCTTCCGACGACATCTTCGGGCGGCCATCGGGACTGTGCATATTTGGTGGTGTGAAATGGCCAAACATTTGGCCCCAAATTTTAGTGGCAAATAAGCTGCTTGGTTATTCTTTTTGGCCCTGTTCACGCCTTTCACGGCCCAGTTAAGCAACGGCCATGCGAACGACACCACGTTGTTGGATGTTTATAGGTTTTTAGGTGTTGGGTTCTGTTTATTTTTAGTAGGGGGCTGCAAAACAAAAACAACATCCCGTTTTTCACTACCATGCCAAGGGTTGGAAAGTACAGCGATCGGCTTTTTGGGCCCCGCTTTGCTCACAGCCTTTGGCCCAGCCTTGTCAGCCGTTTTTTTTGGACCCATCCGAGCGGCTCCAAGTGAAATGCTGAACCAAACTCAGCATACCCCCCCAACTCAGCATACCCCCCCCCTCTCCCGTACACATGGAAGAAATCTCTGGAAATTCCCAACCCCAACCGCCTCGGAGTGCGATTTTGCCGCTGAAAGACTGCGAGGAGTGAAAACCCCGACGCCGAGCCTGAGATGCATTACTCTGCATTGGGTTTTGCAGAGAGGGTGCCAAGCGGTCGTGGCCAGTTGTTGCTCACAGGGCGTTGTTTTGTGAAGTTTTGCTTGGTTTGTTTTAAGATAAGGGGATCGGTGGTTTGGGATCTCCCTTGGTTGTAGAGGGTGAATGGAATACCAAACCACCAAACCACCAAACCAAACCACCAAATAGGAGGAAGCTGAGTTGTGTTACTCAAAAAGGAACCGACTAGACTGCATAGTTCAATGAAAGGATGACCTCAACGGCGAAACCTGGCAACAGTGCTGCGTGGCCTTTCAAATGAGCGCAGGGTGTTCCACAGATGGCTCCAAAGCGAATCGACCTTTTCACCTTTTGGGTGTCCCATGGTCCATTTGTAGTCATGGCCCCAAAGGAGGTTGGCCTTTTATGTCCATGTCCTTTTGGTCAAGTGAGGGTTAGCTGGATAGCTTGCATGAAGGTCACATCCCAAATCTGATTCGAACCTTCCGGTGAGCCACAGGTCAGCGAGTCAGAATGGCAGTGGGTTCCAAAACTGCAAAGTTGTGATCCACATCTTTGTCCCCGAGTCTCCGTGTTTTGGTTTTAGTTTTTGTCTGTCATTCGCTGGTCGAACCCAACCTTGGGACCTCCAGCATTGAATTCGGAGACCTCGCTTGCCCGTTCTTTGGGTGTTCAGACGAATTACTTCTTTGAACATGGTCCGTTTTACCAAGACAAACTTATCGTTTTTGGTAGGGGCAAAAAGCCATCCAGTCAAAAAGGGGGAGGGATTGAGCGGATCCCACAACTGGAGTCCATTGAAGCATTAAAGGATACAACTGGGCCAACTCAAAAATCAGCTGATTGGAGGATTCCCTTTTTTGTAGGCAGGGAATTTTGGATGTATCCTTTAAGGAACTATCAGACTCCGATTTTCAAGATCCTGAGGTGTTTGGCTTTAAGGAACTCTGATCTCTACTGAGCCATGTTCTTTTTTAAGAAAAAAAACGGTTTTCAGTTTTATGACAGCCATGGGTTTCCGTGCGGCCAGTCGCCAGCTTCGCCAGCTTAGGGCGCCTGCCCCAACTGCCGCGCGGCCAACGCCGCGGAGGGCACCAGCCACTGCGCCGCGCGGCCCTTGCGCTGGAGGATCCAGGAGGAGCGCGAGCTCCGCGCGGAGCGAGCGCGGAGCTCGGAGCCGAGTCAAGAAGGGGGGGCACCCCGGATGAAGTTAAACCCCTGTTTATTAATGGGGAGTGTTCCCTCCAAAGGTGATGTTTTTTTCACTGAAACCAGGGACACAGGGACCCATATTAAGTAGGAGGCGCTGAGTCAGTTGGGCCGCTCAGTCACTTGAGATCCTCTTTGCCAATTATAAGAATCGAGCTCACCGATGTGGGGGTATAGCGAGCACACCATGAAAAAAGATAGATTACTTAGGGGATCCGCGAATTCAGCTTAAAAAGCCTCCAGTAGCAGTAAGCCTACTGCTTCTCACTTCCCGAGTTCCGGTTCGGACTTTAGACTCACTTTTTGGTTTTGGTTGCCATTTGAGTGGTAAAGGCAAAGTTTGGTTGCTTTTTTGGCCCATCCACTCGGGAAGTGAGGCTTGCCTGAGTTGGCAAACCTTCAACCACTTGTTGTTGGTATGGCTTAGAGAATCCATGCTCAGTCCAACTCACTTGAGAGGTGTGGCCCACTGGTAGTAACCTGCAATGGCAATGGGAGCCAGGCGGGATCCGGGTTTCAAGTGTCCTTTCGTGGGTGGTGTTTGATGGTACCCAGCTTGGCCATTTTAGGCAGGGGGTACCTGGTTTCGGTGGAAGCCTCTCCCACCGGTTTGGTCCACGTATCCGGTCTATGGTTCATTTGCTTGGCCTGGGGTGGTAATTTCCCATATCGGGTCTGTCTCCTTCAAGGTCATACGCAGGGTGGGTTTTCGCATTTACTTAGGGGCCCAGGTGGCTGATTTTCCGTGCCGTGCCTTGTGGAGGACGTTACCTCCCAACCGCTGAATTTGAGCAGAGAGTACCGCTTCCTGGCGGTCCTTTGCCAAGACCCCGAGGCTCGCTCGAGCCAAATCCGCCTGCGTGTTTTAGTGTTTCCATGGATCCAACGGAATAATATGGGTGTGGGCCGGAGGAAAAAACACAAAAACGTACCCCAAATGGAACCCTGGTAAATGGAAGCAAGAACTATTTGTCTCAAAAAAATAATGTGATCCATAGCCTGGTAATTTAAGTTTGACCCATACCCATAATGTCATTGGCAAGGATTTTCAGGGTCTTTCCTCCTAGAGTCTCCATGAGATTTTGGATAATGACCCCATCCGGTTGTTTCCTCCGTCAGTTCGATCCTTTTTACAGCGATGTGCTATCAGTATTTTTCCAAAATCCCCGGCGACGGAGCTCTCAAAGGGCCGCCTTGTGGCATCAAAGAAGCAGAAGCGGCCGGTTCTCAGCAATGAGAATTGGAATGACCCCAAGAAACCATCCATTTCCTATGGCTTCCTCTCGGGTATATTCTCACTTGCCCAAAGCGAATCGACCTTTTGACCTTTGGGTTTTCCAATTTTGGTCCATTTTTAGTAAAGGTCCCAAAAGGTTAACCTTTTATTTCCAGGTCTTTTGGGCAAGTGAGTATATCCAAAGCCATCTCTTCTGGCTTCCTTTCTTCCAGGATCCGGGTCTGCTTCCGGTTCATTTTCCATTTTCCCAACGCCCGGACTCGGAAGGGTCATTCCCTATAGCTCTAAAGGGGTTGATTCCAATTCCATTCTTTTCCACCATCGTTCTTTTCAAGGGCCGGATCCGTTTCTGTTGGGTTTTTGGATGGTTTCCCGAAAAGATTCGGATCCCTGGAAAGAAGAAAGAAGGGGGACGCTCCCGATAGAATTCGAGTAGGGGCACAACCATTTTGGCCCGCGTTTGAAGAAGGGGAAGGTACCCCTGGAATAGCTCCCGTGAGTCGCTTTTTGCGGCCAGCCAGGCGGTGCTGCACAGCAGCTCGGCTTGGCTAAAACCGATTCTTGGGCAGCGATTTTTTCGGGTGCGATTCGATTGGAAGGCCCCACTTCTGGGGTAGACTTAGGATACATTTTTACATGTTACCAGTGACTCCATGTGAAGCAAACAATAAAATCTTATAACTGGGCCTAACTCTAATTATGACTTGGGGATCCAATCGTGTCAGGTTTTAATGACGGAAAGCGACCTTTGGTTTATAATCGTTGGGGTTAAAACAGTGAGGAGTGGGCAGCTTGCTAGTCGTGGGCGTCTATTTATAGATTTCCTAAAGGGGGGCGGACAAGTAGTAAGCTCAAACTCAGTTGCCTGCAGGATTTTGCAAGCCGAGGGTTTGACAGACTCTCCGAGCGATCATTGCACTGTTGCCCAGCTATGCCTAGGCGCCGTGTTCCTGACACAGACTGTCATGAAGCTTGGCGACTGCCCAGAAGCGACCTGAGCTGGTTGTACTACGCCAGTAATTCGGCGGATGCCCTAAGTATTGCAAGTAAAACAGCTACATTCAACCGGAAAAGCATGTCAAATTACACCTAGGAGATTAGGGGGTTCTTGTTCCCTTATAATCAACATTTCGGGCATCCGCCATACGCGCGCCAACTGGCAATGCTTATGCTCATTGGGGCAGGGAAGCATGACCTGCCATGCTTAAGGGGCAAATCATGCCCCAGACCTCCAGTGGCACACATCTTGTTTTTTGGAAGAGGCTCCTTGCCCTTCTTTTCTGTCACCGGAGGTCTGGGATACAAATCATGTGTTTTGCCAAAGTGAGGTGATTGCGGCCACCCCCCGTGGAAAACAGAACATATGTTCGCTTTATATAGTGAGACTAGAAAGGCTGCGAGACATGGCTGAATATCCTATTGAACCACAGAAGAACTTTTGGAGGTAGAACCCACCGTGGATGTTTGCCCTTGCGAAGGACCGGCCTGATGGGCACAGCCAACTCGGCGCAGGTCACAAAGCCTCAGACCCACGGCCAAGGTAGCTGAAAGTAGCCGCGTCCAACCCAGCCACGCAACCCGTCCGACTTTGCGCTTTGGGTTGGTTCTCAACCAAAATGCAAGTGGCGTATGGTTTCAATCACAACCACCAGTTTAGAAGGAAGCCAACTTGGAGTCCCATATTGTAAGACATATACAATTGGACCCGGGCGCGCACATCCCTTGAGCCTCACGAATAAAAACAACATGAAGAGGTGTGTGAATCTGTGTTTTCTTTAGGAGTCGACCTGCGTTGAATGCTGTGGTGCTGGCGCGCTTCTGGAGCTGTCGGGCTGGGGGTGGAATTCGCCATGGGCCCGGCCCCAAACAGCATTGTACAGGCAGAGCCGTGACGGGGAACTTTCGGCACCATCCCCGTGCCCAGTGTATAAGGTTGGTCCACACCCATTCAATTGCCTTCCGCATGTCCCATGGTTTACTTGGTGGGTAAGAAAAAGGAAACACATGTATAACTAGAGGGCCCTCATAGCTTTCGAGCGGGCTATCAAACAATGCGCAACTCGTGATCCGCTAAAAAGCAAACCTACGACCAGACGTGCGGTTTCGGGTTTAGCAAGTCACAATGTTTCGGTCATGGCTCGGGCTTTCTCGGCGCTCACAAGTGAGACTCTCCGATCCGATCGCCCCAGAGATGTCCTGAGCCCGCAAGTGCTGCGAGCAAAGGCCGCCTCTTTTTGCGCGAGCGCTTTTTGCCCTGCGAGTGAGGGGCAGCCCGGAAAGGCAAACCAACTTTGCGAAGTTTTGTTCTTTGCGACTTCACCAATGGTGAAGGCTCCTTTCTTGAGTTGCCTCAGTCAAGTTGGGCAAATACTGTGGATGGACGACGTCCATTTCGCACCACCTAAGACCCCATGGAATGTCACGATTCCCCCGCAATCACCCACCAACAACGGTTTCCTGTGGTTTCCAAGTGGTGCAGGATGTTTTTCCGTATCAATTATCACCCAGATAAGGGATGATCATCAAGAAAGCTAACGTCCTGAAGGCAATTGCAGGGATTCGCGAGGTTGGAAGGAGGACTTTGGTACGTCGCTGAACATTGCAATCAAGCTGACCAAGCACTCAAGCCAAGCATGGTGAACCAAATGCGGCAATTTAGTCTTGTGGTAAACCAGGGTGAACCATGGCAAGCCATGATCACCCTCGAATGTGGCACCTTAATCTCATAGCCAACTCATCCATGGTGAACAAACCATATGATTCTGGTCTTCAAATGTGGCCATTGAATCCCAGAGCCTTTTTCGAACCCTATGGCAAACCATGGCAAACCCTGGTTTCCTTGGCAAAAAATGCCAAGGGTCGCAGCCGGTCGCACCGCGCTCCACTTGCCCCCCAGGCCCGGCGAGTGGATCCGTTCGATCCTAGGCTACGACCCCGAGATGCGCCTGTACGGCGGGGAGGAGATGGAAATCGGCCGCTCGGAAGATAGGAAGGGATCTGCCAGGTGTGCCAGCAGACCGAGGAAAAAACACCCTCCCCTAAAAAAAGCACACACAAGCCTCTAGCCAAGTGTAAAAGCAAGCCGAGCAAAGCCCATCGCAAAACGAGAAGTGCAGGCAGGGTGTTGGTGGCTTTCGACTTGCGATGTGGATCTGTAGGTCTTACTGGATGTCAGGGCAGGCGAAATCGGGGCATGGGCAAGGTCTATGGCTTGGAGAGCTGGGTTTGGCAGCCCCAAGATTTCGTGGGTGCTTCCTTGGATTTGTCTTGAAGACTGAGAGTCGGATCTCTCTTTTTGTGAGGGTAACCCCTTTTTTTTGGTAGGTTTAAAAGGGAAGAGAGGACAACCACCATTCGTTGTCCCCAAAAAACACACCCGGTTGCCATGGCGGATGCTGCCTTCACGCCATGGGACGGGCCCCTGGGAAGGAGATCCTGATGCTCAGCGAATCGACCGGATCGGACCTCTCGGTTTGCCCCAAAAGGTGAACCTCTTGGTTTCAAGGGAAATCTACCCACTGCAAATATAGAGATATGGCGGGTGAATTGTTTGGTACATGGCGGTTCCAAAGGTAAGTGAACCTCTTGGTTTGCAAGGGAAGCTGCAAATATAGAAATATGGCAGGTGGAAGAATTTGTTGGGGGCTTTTTTGTTTCTGCTGGGTGCCTTGGGCAGAGAATACGCCGTACATCGAAGATGAATGCTCAAGGAAAAGGCTTTTAAAACTGTTAACTTCTCGCTAGGGAGCAACTCCCGGTATTTGTTGGCACGCCGTTGGCCACTAGAAATGCCCAAGCAAGAAAAAACCCGTCCTTTTGTATATAGGGATTGTAAGGATCCCCCTGCTGCTGGATTTTATAAACATCACCCTTCTGAGCCTTTGGACGTGAGTGTCCTTGAGGCGGAATGATGTTCAAAGGGGAAATGTTCACATCTCCGAAACATACCTCCAAAACATACCCCCTCCTCAAACTTCCCGGGTTGGCAACGGCAGAAAACACACAAACACATGTAAGGAACCCGTTTCTTTCAACTTGTTTCCGCCGGAAAGCCGCGATTCTTCGAACGCCGAGGCTTCCGAACGTGGATGCCGGGCACTTGGAGCTTCCTGGTGACAGTGGCTGGAAGGTCGTCATGTGTCTGATGGGTATGTGTCAAAATAGGGGTTGGGACCCATGGTAGGTCCTGTTGGCTTCCCGAGCCAATCTAAAAATGGCACCCCTCAACAAAACAAACACATCCATATGGGAGCCCCCTTCCGATACACAGAAAATGCCTACAAACACATCCATATCCGAGTTTTCCTTCCGTCAGGCACACCTCATACCTGGACGAAAGTTGCTGTCTTACGCAAAGTTTTTCGCATAAGCATCTCTCAGCTTTGCACCCTCCGCACTTGTCTTTGCAAGCCGCCTTCGCCGTACTATTTTAAACTGGCTTGGAACGTCATCAAAGGGTTTCGTTACAGGCAGACATGGCCCCAAAACAGCCTGAATCAGCTGTTTTCCTCAGTTCTTCAGTGGCACCAATTTGTTTTTCCCTTTTTGTTTTTTAGGTGGCTGCCCCACTAAGAATGGTCCCCAAAAAGGGTTCCCTGTTTTTTCCCAGGGTCATGGAACAACTGAGTTTCCTGTAGAAGCCTTAGATCTCGTTGCCGGATCTCGAGCTCTGCAGGTGCGGTGGGGACATCGAGTACCTGCCGTGCTCCCATGTCGCTGCCTTGGCGAGTGGCTCAACCCTTGGCTCGTCTCTTAAAGCGAAGGCTTGGACGGAGTTCTCAAAATGTTGGACACATTCTTGAAATCAGCATCTTGCGGGTAAGTTCGAGGATGTCACTTCAATGGATCCATTGGGCGCAATCACACACCATGGAGATGCTTTCGGAGCCATACACAGGTCAATGCCGGATGCCGGGTATGTCATGTTTCGGAGGTGCCACTGGCACAAGTCGTCACTCCTCCGGAGCTGAGGTTGGGCACATTTTTCGGACACCGAAGTACTGGCAAGGCCGGGGCTGTTGTTTTCCTGATGGCCCGCTGACGCAGATACTGCAAAGGAATCTCGTTCAGCTGACTGGCTAAGGAACGTCTATGACAATCGGCCTGATAACCCATTTTTTTGAGGAGCAGATTCGCATTGCAGGCACACGCAGTTGCACGTGCCCATGCATGTGCATGCGCAAATGTTGCTTGGCATGGTGGTTGTTCAGCTGATGTTCAGCGCCCTGCCAGTCATGGTGTGGGTTCTTGGGGCACTTGCAGCCAAACAGGATGACACAGTTGCATGGCTGTGGTTTTCTGAGGGCTCTGCCCACTGACGCAGTTACTGCAAAGGAATCTCGTTAAGCTGACAGGCTGCAGCAGTGAAGATGCAAGCATGTATCAGAGTGGAAGGAACGTCTATGACTGTCGGCCTGATCCACGATTTTTCGAGGAGCAGTTCCTGATGATCATACATCACACAAACAGAGGCACGCGCATGTGCGCGCACAGACACACACACACATGATGTTACATGCACAAATTCTGCCTGTCATGGTTGGTATTGTGCGTCCTGCAATGGTACTAGTTTGGGGCACCAGTAGCCAAACAAAATAACACTCTTGCATGGCTGTGGTTTTCTGAGGGCCGTCAAGCTGACCGGCTGGAGCAGTGGAGATGCAAGTACGTAAGGGTTGAAGGAATAGCTATGACTTTTGACCTGATCGATTTTTCGAGGAGCCGGTTCCTGATGATTACACATCACGCAACCACAGGACATGTGCCATACACATGCATTTGCATGCGCAGATGGTGCTTGGCATGGTTGTTGTTCAGCTGTTGCTCAGCGTCCTGCGAGTCGTGGTGCTGGTTTGTTGGGGCACTTGCAGCCTGACAGGATGACACTCTTGCATGGCTGTGGTTTTCTGAGGGCCCTGCCCGCTGACGCAGTTGCTGCAAAGGAATCTCGTTAAGCTGACCGGCTGGAGCAGTGAAGATGCAAGTACGTATCAGCGTT